TTATTTAATTATTTCATTTTCCTGGATTGCTATGGTGCCTTTGATGAATGAGCCATTTTCTCAACTGAAAAAAACAAACAGGAAAAAAGATTATTATTATGTAATCAAACATATCATCTTCATAATCATAATGAAGATGATATGAGTTTTTCTGGTTTCTGTAATGCTATCATTAATTATCATTATCAAACTAATGATGATGATAATAATAATATACGGAAAAGCAATTCTTTACGGTGAACAACAATTAGAGAACCAAGAGAAGAATTGAGTTATAGTTATAGTTATATTAGATAAAATGAAAAAAAAATCATTCATCATTTTAGTTGAAGAATTGTTTACTTGACCGTTCCAGAGAGGAAAAAAATTGATAAGCATTTTTTGGTTATCCAAAAAACAAAACCAAACAAGATTATCTTTTTTTCTTTTTTTTTAATTACATTGTTTTTGCAGCAAGCAGGTAGATTATGTTTTTTGGGTTCTTTTTAACCATTCGTTCATTTTCATGTTATGTCATTGTAAATCATGTTTAAGATAAAGATAACATATGGGTCATATTTGGTTCGAACCAGATAATGTTTCATATGAAGATTTAATCAAGAGTTAGACAGGAAAAATACAGTTTATTTTTTTTGAAAAGAAAAGAAAAGAAAAATTTTCATTACAAAAATCTATTTTTTCTGATTTAGTTTTTTCTGGCCAAAAATCTATTTCATTTTCATTTTCATTTCCATTCTTCGTATCATTCTTCTTTTTTTTTGACTCATAATAATCATAAAAATCTGTTTTTATGATTATTATTTCAATTCCAGAATGCAATAGAATCAAGAATAAGGTAATTTTCCATCCAGCTATTCATTTTGGTCATTATTTCTTCTTCTGTTGTTGTTGTTTTTGGTGCGTGTCTCTCCTTGAAATCCTTTTTTACTTTGACGTTTTTGTAATCATGATTATGATTACTATATGATTATTGTGATTATGATGATCATCATCATCTGATTCACGTTGCCCTGGACAGTATTTTCAGTCAGGAAAAAAATTCTGCTTTTGGCTGGCTGACTAGTCAGTTTGATTTCCAAATCCAATATGATACCAACCTTGAGATAGATATGTCACAGTCTGTGTTGTGTGTGTGTGTGTGTGTGGTGAAAAAATCCATTTACAGTCCGATGAAATGGGTCTAAATAGGAAAAACGAGAAAAAGAAAGATTTCGATAATCATCATTAACCCAGTGAATCCAAACCTTTTATTCTGATGATGATGATGATGATGATGAATATAGTGAAGATTGCCAAAAATTCTTGTTGTTTCAAACATTATAATTATTTTTTTGGTAGCTTGGATAACCCGAAAAAATATATTCTGTAACAAAGAATCTATGATGAAATGATGATCCAGATGATGATTGAAAATCAAGTTAAATGAGTAACATATAATCAGAAAAAAGAAGAATTGGATGAATGATATGCACCAAGAAAAAAATGTTTATTCGGGTATAGCCTCGAATCAATCAACAACAACAATCAACCGAAGAAAGAAATTCTTGGTTAATTGGATTGCTATGCACGTAACACATCATGATGATGATGATTTGCAAATTGACCAAATTCTTTTATTTTTCAGCCAAAACGAATTTTCACCCAAAAAAAATTTTTTTCCTTGGTTGGTTGGTTTGTTGTGAATTGATAATTCAAGGTTTTGCAAAGATATGATTGTTATCCAAGATGATGATCAACATAAATAACCAAAGAAAGATAGGATTTCTTGTTTAAAATTGATGATTTTTTTTTGATTTTGCCAATAAATATCTTGAGCGAAGAGAGTTTTGGAGAAATAGATTATCAAATCAATGGTTGCTCCAAAGTGATTGATATCTCCGATCGATCGATGATCATCGATTATCATCAACAGCCAATAACCATAAATCATTCTTTGGTCCATAAATCGTTGCCATTAGAAAAAATCGAATGTTTTTTTATTATTCGAAAATATCGATTATATCGCGATATTAATCGATTGTAATACTATTCGATATATCGAATATTCGATACACGAAACGTCAATAAAAATACCGAACCGAAAAAATTGAAAACAATTTCCGTAAAAAAATAAAAAATAAAGATTATTATCTCTCTCTCTCTCTCTCTCTGGCTTTCAAGTCGACAACCTAGATTCAAATTATGACCGGATTTTCAATTATCCAATTTTTTTTCTGGGCGACCAACAATCAAAACATTCAATCAATCAATCAATCGATTCTGGATCGAGAATAATTCTGATGATGATGATTAATGGTGAGAGTTTTAATTGTGATTTGATCCGTAAACTTTGTTTGAATGAAATTCACAATTCAAAAAACCTTGAGCTCGATGATTTGAGTGCCTGATTTTTTCTGAAAATGGTGTGTTGATATCTATCGAAATGAATTATTGATGACGATAATCATTATTATTATTCGCACATTCTGCATACAACAATATAGTTTATTTAAATCAAAGAAATGAAAAGAAATAATGAATTTTTTTTCATCAAAATATATTCACCAAAAACCCGTTTTGAGATCAGGCGATGATTGATGATGATTTAGATTTGTTGTTATTATTGTTTCTCCTTGGCTTCCCAAAAAAAAAAGAAAAGATTTAAATATTTAAAAGATTTCTCCCGTTGTCATCACATTATTTATTCCAGAAAAACCAGAAACCAGAAAAATTAATAACCAGAAAAAAGAGAACCAAGACAAAATATGATTCTTTTGCTATTTTGACCTGATTTTCTATTTCAACCCTGATTGATTGAATAGAATGAATGAATATAGAATCATCATCATCACTGATGGCCATGATGATTGTTGGTTGGTTGGTTGATTGGTTTTTACCTGAATCATAATTAATGATAATAATTTTTGGTGATAATCTTTTTTCCCTAGATTCAAGCTAATCTTTTTTTGTTTTTGTTATATTCTGTGTAATTAATAGGAATGCATACTTTTGTTGATCCATCAACAACAACAAATGGAACAACAAATGGAGCGAGCAATCAACAAAGACGTGGATCAAAACAACAACAACGAAAATATTCAAATGATTCGAACAAAACAATCGTTGGTGATGGTAAACGAGGAGAAAAAGAAAAGAAGAATAAATCAGGACAAGGACAAATTCAATCATCGAATCATCATAATCGTTCGAAATCAATATCATCGATAAAAAATACAAATTTCGATAAACAACAACAAAAACATCATCATCGTCGTCAAAGTATGTCAAATTTTCACCAAACCGATCAATTATCAACAATGGTAGAAGAAAATGATCGAATTGAAGAAGAAGAACCGGAAAAAGAAATTTTAATGATGTTAAATGGTGGTGGTGGTATGGGTGTTAATAGTAGTGGTCAATGGACTAATGTTGATGCTACTACTTCCACTATGAATAATGATGATGATTGGTCTGATGATGATGATAAATCGAATGAAAAACAGGCAACCAATGTTGTTGATGAAGAATTAGATCATCATCTTGATGATGAAGAAAAAGAAAATATTCATGATAATTATGGTGGTGGTGTTGTTGTTGATGATGAAGATAATTTGATTTCATCATCATCATCAACAACACCATATGGTAATCATAATGATAATTATGATGATGATGATGGTCAACAGCAATCAAATAATGATGACCGGATTCATTTGGATAAAAATCATCCTGTTGCTAATGAAGAGGTGGTACATTTATCGAATGGAATATCTAACGGCGATGGCGATGATGAAGAAAAGAATAATAATTGGGTCGAAAAGGTAGTGGAAAAGAACGATTGGAATAATGATGGGTATGATGAACAGCAACTTGAACAAGATAAAATGGATTATCATCATCACCATGGTAATGGATCATCAAAGCAGAATAATAATCAAAATTCATTGACTAATAATGATAACAACAACAGCAGAATGATGGATGTACAGGAAAATATTAACTACAATGAAAAAAATGATATGAATCGACGACAATCAACAACAACAACAACAACAACTGCAAAAATCATCGAAAATTCGAATGAACGTGATGATCCCGATGATGATGATGATGGAAAAGGTCCAGTTCGAATATCAGATATGTTGGGAGTAACTAACGACAACAACAACAACAACAACATTTCGAAACCAGGGAAACCATCATCCAACGAATTGAATGACCAGAATAATGAATTAGATTATATAATAAGCAAACAGCAGCCAAAGCAGCAATCCGAGCAACGAGAACAACGGGTTGTAACCAAATCATCATCATCAGTAGTAAATCCTGAAACAACAAAAGAAGAAGTGGAACAGAATTATTCGTTGGAGGTTGAACAACAACAACAACAACAACGAAATTCATTATTCATCAACCATAATAATGAAGAAGAAGAAGTAGCAGATTATAATGATTATGATGAATCTTTAGTTTATTCGACTAATATTGATCATGAGAATCGACGTGGGCAACCAGATTTGAATAAAAATTATCATAAAAATGACGATTACGATTGCGATGATGATTTAACAATGAAAAAATCTAGTGGCTATCATTCTGATGATCATCGTGGTCGACGAGAAAGTGGTAGTGGTGGACAAATTGGACAACAGAATCCTCATCATCAACAACATTCGAATCTAAATCGTTCGACAAATCAGTCGTCAAAGAATCATTATTTAAATGTAAAACAATCATCATCATCATCATTGAATCCTGTGGCAACAAGACAAGTTACATTTGCAGCAAATGATAAACATCGTAAACAACAACAACAAAATAATGGTTCGAATGTTATTGCTGTTGGTAAAAAACCACAATCATTATCGGTATTAAAACAACAACAACAAAAACAAGATTCATCACCAATATCATCAAGAACAATTTCAAGTGATGATGATAATAATAATGAAATTGTTGTTGCCGCTCAAAGAAATAATCCAAATTATCATCAACCAAAAAATAAAAAACCAACCATCAACAACAATCAAATATCATCCAAAGATCGAAACATTGATAACGATAAAATGGCTACTGCTGCATCAACAACATCGACAAATTTTCTTCCGCAACAACAAGGTTCTTCTTCGTTAGCTTCATTGACTCAATTGGATGCTGATACATTGGCAAATATTGAATATATTCCAACAATGAAGGTAAATTGTTCAGTTTTTTCCCCCCGAAAAATAACACTTTTTTAAAACTAACTTTTTCTATTCAAAGGATTATCTATTACCACCATATTATCATCCTTATTATCATCATCATGATCCATTGTATCATCCTGCCACTTATGCAGCAGCAGCAGCAGTAGCTACATCACCTATTCTTTATCCAACACCACCAACAAATCCACATCTATTACGATTCGGTATATTTCCCCGTATATTAATCTATCAGGCATTATCATCGATTGCTGATGAACAATTTGCAGCCGTACAGGCATTAGTACGTATTGTACGTGATTCATCAAATGAACATTTACAATTATTATTACCGCATATGGATGAATTTTTATCCATATTCATAACGCAATTATTATTAGATAGTTCATCAAATTTTAAAATAATTCTTTGGACATTAGATATTATTGAATTATTAACAGAACGTTTTCGTCAACGTTTACAACCAAATTTATCGCAAATAATTTTATTATTATCACAACGATTAGGTAAGGTTGATTTGATTTGATTTTTGATTTTTGATTTTTACTTGACTTTTTCTTTCTTCAACAGGTGATAATCGAATTGTGATACGTGATTCTGTTATAAAAGTATTTCATCAAATGATGACCAAATATTGTCCACAAGAAATGTTGGATCTATTATTTAAACATGTATCATCAAATGCTCAACATCATCAACAGCCATTAGCATTTACTTCGTCATCAAAACTACGTGAAGAAATGGCTAATCGTATTACTGCATCAATAACAACATTTCCACGTAGTCGTTTAAATTTACCAAAATTATGTTTTGATATTGTACCATTTTTAATTGATCGTCGTTCGCTAGTACGTTTAGCATCATTAGAATGTTTAGCAACATTAGCACAAGCATTAGGACCACATAAATTAGGTTCATTAATGACAGCCGTTCATTCGTTGGAATCATCATTAACAGCAATTGATTTTGATCGTTTAATAGCATCGATACAAGCACGTTTAGCACGTCGTTCATTACCACGTGTTGGACCGGATGGTAATGTACAATATGTACTTCGTGTACCAACATCCAATGATTCATGGTATTATCGTCGTATTTATGATGCTGATTTGGAATGGATTGCAATTGGACCAACAACACCACCAGTAAATGTACCACTATTGTTAAATACACCTACCGTTGGTTTGGTACCGAAATTTCCAATAGAAAATCAATCAACAGAATCATCATCTGAACCGTCAAGAACAAATGATTCATCACCTGCTAATAATAATAATTGTTGTCAACAAGAACGACAAGCAATTCAAAAACAAGGATTATTAAATTCACCGGATTCCGAAGATATACCACCACCAGTTAAAAGTAAAATTATTGTTGATGGTGGTGGTGGTGGTGGTGGTCATCATCATCATCATCCTTGTTATAATCGTTCTTCAACTTCACCTGAATTATCAGACGCACATAATAAAACGGTTAAGATTCGAAGCCGATCTCGATCGAAACCGCAAACTAAACAACAGCATTCTTCTTCAAGAAAAACAACAAAAATCGATCCAGATGGTTTGGCACAAGATCCACCAAGTCCATTAAGAAATTTTTCCGATCACCAACAACAAAAAGAATTAGAACAACGTTATCATTCATTAGAACAACAACAACAACAACAATCATATCCATTTAATCGATCAAAAACTAGTCAAGAATTTCGTCCATATGGTAATCAGAATCAGAATAATAATAAACAAAGAACAAGACGTGATCAATTTATTGAACGTTTAGTTCGTGGTGAATCTGTTGATGATTCTGATTTAGCTGATGCTGAATGGTTTCGTCGATCATCAACTGAAAGTAAGTGGGGGGTTAATATTGGTGATGGTGGTGTACCATCATTGGTTAATTAATTTATCTTTTTCACCTGGTCAATGAATAGGTCTTGAAGCTTGGCGACAATATTTTGGTCGTTTTAAAAAACAAATGGCCGATATTTCATTATTAAATGGTCCAATTGGTGTACGACCATATGGTGGTGGTTCATCAAGACCTGGTTCAAGTGGTAAGCTACGGTTTTATTTTGTTTTTTTTTTTGCCTAAAGATGAATTATTTATTCATTTTGAACTAAAGATGTATATAGTAGGGTTATCTGTAGTGTTAATATTTTCATTCGCAAATATCCGTCTGACGTTATCATGGGTTAATTCTATAATAATTTTATATACCCGGAAATTTTTCCAATAATTTTTTTTTGTTTTGTTTTTTGGGTGATATCAGAATTATCTAGAATCTAGAATCATCATTTATCTAGTCACGTTTTAAAAAATGAAATTTATTCATAGTCAGTCAGTCAGTCATATATTTAATCAGGTAGACACTACCCTTCCATTCTGATTAATAATGAACAAAGGTTCATTAACCTTTTCTGTCGTGGTGGTGGTGGTGTTATTCTGGCGTCTGGTCATTCTGTATTCATTAATTATCTAATTTATTATTATGGGGAAATAATTCTTTAACCCCTTTCTCTCTCTAGGTCTTGATTTTTTCTTTAATTTAATTTTAATTTTTTTCTTTTTTCAAATTTAGTTTATTATGGACTTTCACCATTACCACCACCACCATTTACATTACCGGCAGCAGCAGCGGCTACATTTGCACCACCCGGTTTTCTATCACCATCATATTATTATCATTATTATATTGCAAATGGTCTTTCAAATTCATATCATGATCTTTCACAACTTCAACAAAAAAATATGATGTCAATAATGAAACGTTCGGGTTTTGTTTCCGGTTCGGATCAAGATCCTGATCCAGATATTGATCGTAGTGATGAAAATCTTCATCAAAAATCAGATGAAAAATTGATTCGAAAATCAAATGCTGCTGGTGGTTATTCTGGTCAACATTCGGATGAAGAAGAAATTGGTGGTAAATCATCATCATCATCAACGAGAAAACGTTCAACGAATATTGATCGACAAACAGAAGGAAAGAATTTACATAAACAACAACAACGACAACAGCAGCAAGAATCATTATCAAATCAACAATTAGAACCAGAACCATTACCAATGGAAAGATCATTTTCAATGCCATCAATACGAACAGATTCAGCATCGGCTGAAAATGATTCACATCTAATGGCTGCTGTGACAAATCAACAGGATAATACACAAATTATTAGTGAAGAAGTTATACAAGAATTAGGAATGTGGGAACAAGTAATTCAAGAGGAAAAAAATCAACAATCTTCTTCTTCTACTACTGGAAATATTGAATCGAAATCAAATGTAGAAGATTTGGATACGAATGTTAATCAACGTAGATCTTCTACAATGATGTTACCACAAGAACAATCAGCTCAAAATGTTGATAATAATGAACAGATTAAAATCGAATCAAAATCCACAGCGAAAACAATACCAACAGTTAATATTCAACCATCAACGCCATCTGTACAATCATCTAATTTGATGAAAGGAAGTTCCAAGGAATCGGCTCCAATCATAGTGCAATCACCACCACCGCCTCCTAAACAATCTTCGCTTACTGATAATACGGAAACTGATCAACAACAACAACAACAAAGTTCTGTTGTTGCTGTTGAAGAATTAAAACGTCAAGAATCGATTAAAATGGATGGTGATGGTTCAGTTGATAAACAATCGGTGTCAACAGTATCTAAACAAGAACAAATTGATCCAAAACAATCACCACCAGCAACAACATCGAATGTAAAATCAAAACTACCACCACCCGCAACATCGACTGTAACAAAAACTGGACCAGCCGCACCACCAGCATCTCGTCGAATGTCAAAACCACCACAACAATTATATATAAAAACTACACCAGCTATACCGATGAATGCAAATATTCAACATATTCTGGGTAATGTTGCACGTACTGAAGGACCATTTGATAATCCATATGATGCTGTTAAATCAGCAGTAATTGCATTACGTGATCATGCTTGGTAAGTTTGATTGATTGATTGATTGATTTTTCTCTAATTAATTATAATTATCATTATCAAAAATTATATAGGACAACCAAAGTAGAAGGAATGTTAGCTGTTGTTCGATTAGCAACATTTCATCCACATCATTTAATTCGTGATCAACATCAAATTTCAATAGCATTAGCAAGTGAAACACGTAATCTACGTTCAACAGTAGCACGTTCAGCAATATTTACAATTGGTGAATTATTTTCAAAACTTCGATCACAAATTGAATCGGTAAGTATCGAATATTCCAATTATATTCTTTTCGTTCAATTAAAGATGAATGTAATGAATTTTTTTCTCTCTCTCTCTTTTTAAAAACTCAAGGAACTTGATATTCTTACACAAGCATTATTACATAAAGTTTCAGAAAATTCTGTATTTATTCGTGAAGATATTGATCGAGCTTTACAATTAATGATTGAATCAATGCCACAAACACGTGCAGCTTTAGCTTTAATTACATTTGGTTCAAGGTTTGAAATTGAATATTGATTGGACATTAACTAATTTTTGTTTTTTGTTTCGAATCTTTAGTCATCGAAATACACATGTAAGACGTACATCGGCACAATTTATATCAGCATTGGTAGAAAAAATGGGTCCAATGAAATGTTTACTTGGACCACGTGATATTGGTGAACATTTATTACCAGCAGCAGCACGTTTTATACAAGATCAATCATCGCACACTAGATATTTTGGCCGTAGAATATTTGCCACATTAATGCAACATCCATTGTTTGATAAATTTCTTCGTCGTCATGTTTCACCCGGTACTTATCGAAATATTTGTGGAATGTTAGAAACAATCAAACGAAGAGTATGTATATCCTCTCTGTGTATAATTATGAAATTGCTAAAAAATAATGAATTTTTATTTTGTTTTGTTTCTGAACAAAGGGAGTTGGTGATGCACCATCCGATTTATATTCACCAACCGTACAGCCTAAAGATAGTGATCCAAGACGATTAATTATTATTGAAGCTACAACGCCAAGTTAAAATTATTTTACCAGTTTTTTTTTGTTTCTGGATGATTCAAATTCTACAAGGATGATTGCTTTTTGTCAATCAATCATTGAATGAAAACAATCACACACACACACACTGCCATATGGTCGCTATTTTTTTTCGGTTGAATGTTTCGTGATTGAATTGAAAAATTCAATGATTTCTTCAGCGTGCTCATTCCTTATCAATTTACTAAAATTCTACATAACATTTTAAAACTAGATTTATATATTTTTTTTCTTTCCTTTTCTCTTCCTATTTACTTATTATTAATCCATATTTACTGGTTTAACAACAACAACAACAACAAGAATATCTGGTTCAATTTTTATTTCCTTTTAATTTTACCTGAACAAAATTTATTTATCTTTTGACTATCATTTTATTTATTTAGATAAATATCGATTTAGATTGGAAATCGACCAAAATTATACACTGCACTAAAATTATATAAAAATTTGATTTTGTCTTTTTTTTTTTTTTGATTTATATATAGAGTATAATGGCATTGATAAAGTTTGCATTTTCAAAAAAATATTTATAGATTGTCCTGGCTATCAAATTTTCTTATCTAAATTTAACTTGACATTTCTTTGAATAAATTTCAAAAAAAAAATCAAAAATCTTTTCGAATAATTTTTTTTTCTAAATCCACTAGATGGTGTCATCTAGTGGCCGGAAAAAAAGTTGAAATTTTTTCGCGCAAAAGAAATTTTTTTTTTTCAATTCTTATCTTCATCGAGATTATTTTGGATTATTATTTTACAAAAAAATATATTTAAAATACAAAAAAAAAGATTAACATTCATTCATTCAGAATTGAGTATTTTCAATGGATTTTGTCCAAATCTTGGTCGATTTTTTTTCTGATTATAAGCTTTAGCAAATTCGGTTGAAAAGAAATTTGATCCAGGATAAAGGCCACTATCACGTCGACCAGCATTGAATTGATGATAATTTGATGATCGATCAGTGGACAACGATGATGATGATGACAATGATGATGATGATGACGATGATGATGATAGGAGTATATTTGTTACAGTTATATTATCATTACAACATTGTATCCATTCATTTTTAGTTAAACGACCATCATCATTTTGATCACAATAATGTATTTCAGTACGTAAACATTTTTTTAAACGTGAATTTATCGATAATTTTGTTGACCATAATCGTATAAATGATTTGAATTCATTTTCATCAATATCGAATTCATGGCCATTATCAATCTGATCGAATATACTATCACAGGTAAATCCATGAATGGATATACGTTGACGAAATTGTTTATGAAATTTCATACGACGACGTTGATCACAACCTTTACGCATTAGATCACATGCTTCTAGATTTTCTGAACTATTTTTCTGGGTTTGGTAAAAAAAGAAAGAAAAAGAAGAAAAAATTTTATGTTAGTCAATTCTATGAACTATTCTGTTTGTTTTTGGTTAAAAAATACATTCAAGTTTACATTGAGTGCTTTGATTGTATGACCAGTAACCCTTGAAACACACCAACAATGCATATGATGACATTGTACACGAACATAATAACCATCGGCTGTACATTCCGGTATGAATACTAATCCATTTGGATTAACACGTGCAGATTCAATTGAATTTGAACGAATTAATTGACAATCTTTCCTGGATTCTTTACGTGATTCTTTGCCTGATCGATCCGTTCCGGTTTGATTTGATTGCGATGAATTCATTTCCATCAATAATCGTATGGATGAACCTTGACCATCATATGCGATTGATGATGTTGACATTGCTGGATCATCATTATCATTATCATTGAATGCATTATCATAATTGAATACATTTTGATTTTTCGACGATAAATTATCATTACCACCACCACCACCACCACCACCACGTCTTTGCTGCCGTCGTCGTTGAAGATAATCTTCATTCAATATCTGTGTATTTCTTAGATTAAGACAATGAATAAATTCTATACGTGTAATATTTTGATCATGATTATGATCACAAAAATCAAACATTGAATCAGCACATGATTGTAATTGTGATTGATGTTGATGATGATTCGTTTCCAATTGTGTTAATTCATCAATCATTAATTTTAATTCAATCTGCGATAATGAATGATCTTTATTATGATCAAAATCATTGAATTTACGAATGATCGGATTAAATTCATTTGAATTCGACAATGACGCTGACGCTGAAGACGTCAGTGATGGTAATCGTGTTGGTCGTGGTCGATAAATTCCTAACGGTATACGAGCAACATTTTGCCTTTGTTGTTGTTGCTGTTGTTGAATTTTCGATACAATCTGATCGATATATGATATACGTTGCCCGGTTAAACAACGTTTTGAACGGCCACGTTTTTGTTTATTCGGTATCAATTGTGATTGTGCAGCCGCTATTGGTTGAAATGGTGTTGATGGATCTTTTAGCGGATTGGAAAATAACGGCTGCCTTCTGGAATTATATGATGATGATTGTTGTTGTTGTTGTTGATAATGTTGTTGTTGTTGTTGCTTTTGTTGTTGTCGTTGTTCAATAATATGATTACAATCTAAATGACGATTTTTTGTTGTTGTCAATGTATTTGGTCGTCCAGTATTCGGATCAACACAAAAACAATATCCAGTTTTATTGTCACATTGAACTGATTTAAAATGACCATCATCAGTACATTCAAGAACGAAATCATTTTGGCTTAAATTTGCTCTTTGTGTCCAACAATTTGTTGTTTGACCTGGATTGGCCTTCAACGAAAACAACAAAAAAAAAATCAAAGATAATTTTCATTAGCCAAAAGACAAAAATCCTTTCAAAAAAAAAACAACTTACCGTTGATGATAATTGAAGAAAATGTGTAGCTAATAATAATGATAAATATAATATGAATGACCAGATTCTATGATGATGGTTATGATGAATTTTCTTCATTTTTTTTCAAATTTTCATTATTGATAAACAAAAACAAACAAAAACAGACAAAACAAACAGACAAACCAAACGAAAAATCAAATTGAATAACGTCGTCGTAAAGTCATTATCATTATTATGTAATCAGTTTTTAGACAAAATTTCTGTTTTCGAATGATAAATATGATATCATCATCATTTTGTTGTTTTTGTGGTTCAATATTTCCTGATTAAAATGACGAATTAACAACACACAACAAAAACAAGTCAGCAAATTTGAATTGATTGATAATTGATTGATTGATTTGTAAAAAACAAAAACAACCGAAGTTCAGATGAAGATAATTTGATAGGCAACCGAAGAACTGAGAAAACAAAATATGAATGAATGAAAAAGATTGTCAAATTTTTGACAGAATGAATTTTTCGCAGTGAAACTGAGGTGGTGGTGGTGATGATGATGGTTTCTATTTTTATTTTCGTCCAGGTGTCAAAAAATCGACCGTATTGAAGAAGCAGTGAAAACAAGAAGAAAAAACCGCCACCACCACCAATGATCAACAGGTAGAGGTCATTATCATCATCATCGTCAATATTATGCACTGTCAATTGTCACCGTCACCGTTGACAAATATCAATAATAATGATCACCGGTGTGTGGCCAAAACACAAATCCGAATTCCAATGGGGACAATTTCTATGATAGACTGCTTGACGACACAAAACACACAAAACTACTTTTCTTCATTGAATGTTTTTCATGGTCATTAAGATCGATCCAAAGAACGATTTTTTCTTCTTCGTACTTTCGTTTTGACAAATATTTTTCAATCAATATGCGAAACCCTGCTCTCTGTATGAGAAACGAAACGAAAAAGGATTATGAATTTTTTCGAATGTTTACTGTTTTCTTTCTTTCTTTCTTCGGTTTGTTGGTCAAAGTTTTGAAAAATATTGAATATTCAGTGTGTGTGTGTGTTTTGTGAATGAATTAATGATCTTTTCTCTGTTGGTTGGTTGGTTGAATGTTTTCAATTCTCTTTTTGAATGTCGATTTTGATTTATGATAATCGGTGGTGTTGGGTTGACAGAACAGAACAGAAAATTTGCCGACACGAGAAAAAAAATCCCCTTTTTTCTTCTTCTTGTTTGTTTAAAGGGTTATATCTTTTCTACACGGAAACAAACGAGGGAAACAAATGGTCGAATCAAACGGAAAACATTGAAAAAAATTAAAAAAAATTTTGAAATCAAAAAATCGTTCGAAATTTTTTTATTGAATGAAGAAAAAATATACAAACAAAACAAAAGAATCCTATTCACAAAATACAGGACATTTTCGCTTTAATTAAGAATTTTTTGGATTCTGAGATTCTAAGATTTTTTTACAAAAACAAATATTTGACATTGTAGATTCGACATTATCTAGATTATTTCGTTTGTGGTTTGTTGGTGGTAGCCATACGAATATATTGTGAACGATCAAATTGAATATCGGTATCATCTTTTTTTATACGAATCACTTCTTTTTGTTTACGTCTTGATCGCCATTCCATTTTTTCTTGTTCGCTTTCACAATCTTCTAATTTTAATGGTAATTTTATTAATTCACGTGGTACATGATGACGTACTAATACGGCTGATCCATCTCGGTATATTATCCATACTGGATATAATCTTTGATATTCATTTGGATTTTGTTTCAAACGGCAAATCGATGCACGATTTGAATGTAGTTGACGTTTTTCAAACGTCATTATTGATTGATTGATGGTTGATCGACCCATCTGGAACAATTTTTTCGTTAATAACATTTTTTTTCTCGGGAAAAATATCAAAAAATTTTTTCAAAATCTTCAAAGTCAAAAACTCATGTGAAAAACAAAACGAAAAAACCCAAAACAGCTGAATCTCAACGTTCGAAGCAGCGCGTTCATAAACAATGTTACGGATATATATCAAATCGCAAAACAAAAAGCTTCGAAAAAAATTTCCGGATATTTAATTATTTAGATTTTTTGTTTTTTCCAAAAAAATTTTTTAAAATTTAATTTGATTTTGTTATGTAATATTAATGATCATTTGACCATTCAATGTACACCATATTGTGAAACTGATTTAACTTTAATTTGTTTCATTAAAATATTATAATAACCTGAACCGGATGATTTTACAATTGTACTTGATGCTTGTTCTTGTATCGATGATGATTCTTGTGGTTGTTGTTTTGAATAAATCATATATGATGATGTTGGACGTTGTTGTTGTTGTTGTTGTTGTTGTTGTAATGATAAATTATTATTATTTTCTTGTTGTTGTTGTTGTTGTTGTTGTTGTAATTTTCTTGAAGAAGAATTCGAAGGCGAATGATTATTTGGATTTATAAATGGTGGTAATAAACTACCCGATGGACGAATTTTTAATGAATGTTTCCATTTTAATGATGATTGTTGTTTAGATAATGTTTGTCGTTTATTTGTTGATGATGAATTATCATCATTTTTACCACCACCACTAATTTTATTGATCATTTTCAATTTATGTGGAAATTGTAGATGTTTACGATCGATATAAATTGTTTCAGAATATTCATCACCAGTACCACCAGGCGATTGACAACCAGCACAAACAATAATAATAGTCATTATCATTATTATGAATGTAATCGATGGTATAATCCATACTATGGATAAAATCATTTTTTTTTTCAATCTTCAAAGTGGTAAAAACGAACGAACGAAACGAAAAAAAAAAAATTGAAAATTTCCGGAAATATTTCTTTCTGTTTCATTTGGAAATGGATTTTTATAAAGTTTTTTTCCTTTCCTTTCCCTTTCGACCATAATCTAATTAAATTATTTTAATTTTGTATTTTTTTTTTAATTTACAAATTTCAATTAGTTAATCTTTTTTGTTTCGGGTTTAAATTTCTTAGTGGCGCCAATCAAACAAACCAACAAAAAAATCTATCGATTGATCAATTTGCTGATAAGATCTGTTTATTTAATGATTATGATCTATGTAACTATGTGACCTTATCGTTGTCATCGTTGTTGTCCAACTCGATCCAATCAACCAACCAGCCAAACGATCATTATCATCAACCAAAAGATATGATCGAGTTTTGTTGTTGCTGACATTCATCATCAATCAACCCAAAAATTTTGTATAAAAAAAGAACAGTCAAGAAATACGTCTCAGCATTGCATTTTTTTTGTTGATGTTCGACGACAAAATCAGATCAAAACGAAAATGATCAACATTAATTTGATTATAGCGGTGGTGGTGGTGGTTGGTTTGCTCAATATTCTTCAAGTATCATCATCAACAAAATCACCACAATGTATTGATGATTCTGGCCAACCAGTTGATTGGTATATTATCTATAAATTTCCATATTTAAAACATTTAAATGAACCGGATTTATTTGGTGGTTATCATTATGCATATCAAACATCGAAAACAATCCAACAATCAACGAAAAATGATGATGGATGGCATTTTTCATCCAAACAAATTACTGAATCCGAATCAATATTTGGTCAAACATTTAAGCCATTTTTTTCATCCGAAAATCGACCAAAATTAACATCAATGTTTTATAATGATCAACCACCAAATGGTACAGATATTTCATCCAGTTATGCACATTCGAAAGGTATGATATTGACGGATTCAAAACAAGGATTTTGGCTAATTCATACGATACCAAAATTTATGCAAATTGATGAAAAGGTATACCAGTCGAAAAAAAAGTAACTTTCAAGGTACAATCTTTGCTTTCTTTATCTTCCTTTCCTTCGTGCTCAGTATTCATATCCAGCAACAGGTGGACGTTATGGACAAGTTGCATTATGCATATCATTATCCACCGCGGAATTGACGAAAATTGTTGAAGAAAATTTTCTTCTATCCAGACCATATGTTTATCATATGCATATTGATTCGATAACCGAGCAGACTGATCTGGGAAAAGCTCTAATCAAATTAGAACATCATAAATGGTCGAATGGATCGAAAAATTTTACCGAATTAACATTCAAATCATTAAATGGACAATTGTTTCAAAGTTTTTATAAAAGTCCATCATATCATGTTGATCTTTATTCAGATATTGTGGCCAAATCACTAAAAAAATCATTACGTGTTGAAACATGGCGTCATAATCCGGGAAATCCATTACATTCAGAATGTCAACATAAACAAGCTGAAGTGGAAAATATCAAAGAAATTCAATTGAAATTTATCGATTCCAAGCTGGAAGGAAATTTCAGTTATTATGATGATCATAGTAAATGGGCAATTACACGTTCGAAACCACATCATCAACAAAAAGATCAACAATCAGACGAAGATGAAGAAGATCCATTCATATCATGTATTGGTGATATTAATCGTGTTGAATCACAATTTCATCGTGGTGGTGGTACAACATGTTTATCCAATTCGAATGTTTGGTCAAATTTTAATTCATTCATACAGTCAATTGAGAGATGTCCCGATGATCCTGGAACAACCTCGAAGCCAACAACATCGACAAAACACTCATCAATTTGGCAATCAATTTGGGAAAAAATTCGTAATCTTTTTCATTGAAATTTTTGTATTACAAAACAAAACTTTTTATTTTTGGATTTATAAACGATAATAGAATTTTGAAATTAGAAATTCTATTTTAACCAAAAAAAGTGAAATGAAAATGTGAAAATAACTTTTGAGAAAGTTTTTTTTTCAAACAAAAAACAAACAATCTTTTGAATTATCCGGTATTCGAACCCATTGTTGAAAACGTTGAATTTGACGACGTTCTTTTTCCAATGATTCAGCTGAACGATTGGATGAATCCAACGGGTCTTCAAATTCAAAATCAATATCCAAAATATCATCATCATTATATGTTCGTTCAGTAGATAATCGATACATTATATGAATTTTTGATTTATAAGCACATAAATCAGCATACATAACTGGTGTCGGTATTGACATTGGTGTTTTATGTCGTACACAATTAAAACAAACAAAAAAACATAAACGTTGTAGTTCGGCATTCGATAAATTCAATTCGTTAACCGAAACAAAATATTTTGTTGGACGTGATGTACCCTTGTTTGTGAAAAAAATCAATCAAAAATCAAACATTCAAAAAATCCAAATAATTCATCCTCACTTACCAGAATTGAAAAATGTGAATTCACATAAAATATATCAAAATTTGGTTCAACAATTGTATTATCAACAATAGTACCGCTTGGTACATTTCTTGTCATACGACCAGAACGATTTATTGAATATGGTTCGGTTGTTACAAATCTTGTATGATGACGTTTTTGTACAATAATCAATGTTAATGATACTTGTTTACCAGTTTTTCGAGTAATTTTCTCATCAATTGCTTTACGTATTAAAGGGATTTCTTCTTTAGTTACAGTATCAAATTGTCCTTCGGATACACCATCACGAAATATTATTAAATGTTCTGGGAATTGTTTATCATTATGATGATAATAATGTGCTAATAATTCTTTAATCATTTCATCCAAATGATGTATCATTTCGGTACGATCAAGTTTTTGTATACGTGCTGTACTTATATATTGTGTTAGCTGCGGATCATATGTACCGGCAGCAGCTGCAATCGATATCGGTACTACTTCACGAAAACCTGGATGATTAACATCCAAACCAATAACCATTGTTTTTTCAAAATTTATATTTGGTAATTTTTGTCGTAGAAAATTCGGTGATATAACTTGATTCTGTCCACCACGTTTACCATTAATTTCGAATAATAAATTGGTAAAATAACCACGTGGTGGATTACGTACACGTGATGCATTTAAACATTGTAATGTTATACTAAAATCCTGTGTACAAACTGATGAACAAGCACCATAGATTTTTTGTGGATCTAAATGTGAATTTCCTAAAAATGGATGAAAAATTGAAAAAATAAGAAAAAAAACCAAACAAACAAAAAAAAACTCACGATCAGGTATTATAACCAAACAAAACCGGATATTCAAACGATATAGTTCGGAAAATACTGGACTTATTTCTTCAATCGAATGTATATCAAATATTTTTTTCTGTTCCATATAACCCAATTGTATATTCATTTTATTTGCTTCCATTTCTAATTGATATGAAAATCGTTCCAATGTACGATCATTGATATGTTTATCAAATGATATTAATGCCCAATTTTCATTCGAACCTGATTCGGTAATACGAAATGGATTTGAATTTATAAATTCTGGTTGTTCTAATTGATAACCATTAAACAGTGCTGGTTGATTATCAATTTGTAAACCAAATACATTCAATAAATTTGAATCAATTTCAATCAATCTATCAATATAATTTTGTATACAATGGAAAAAATTTTCCGGTTTAAATTCAGATTTTTTCAATGCTGCTGTTTGTATATCGTTTGATGATTTGTTTGGATTAATAAATTGTAATTTTCCCAAATAACATAGTTCTAATGGTAGATAATTTTTCTTATTATTATTACGATCATTTTTTGATTTGGCCAATATTAATGGATTCTGTACATCCAAATGAAGATGATAACGTTGACTAAAATATTCAAATACGGATAATTTTTCACCACAACCATCTTCAAAAAATATTGATTCCGGTCCATTTGGTAATAATGAATGAAAATTATAATAACGTTTACGTTCACCATGTTCAGTATATATGGTTATATTTTTCAATAGGCTATTAATTGAATTGAAATCAATTTTTTTCGGAAATTCTGTTTGCATTAATTTGATTATATCGATTAATTTTCGTTTTTTTCTTGTTAATAAACAACCAACACGTGGATTTATTACCAATGATAAACCAATCTGTGACATTCGTACGGATAATTCAAAACCAAATACAAATTCCAAATATGGATATTGTTTATCATCAATAATATTATCCATATTAAAATAACGTGAATGATTATGAACAAAATGATCTTGTAGTATGTTATGAAATACCAGATTATAAATATTGATAATTTTTGTTGGTAATTTTGTTGATTTTCGTTGAAAATAATCATCAACCATACCAAGATTAATTTTATCCACCAGATTTAATTGTACTTTTGTCATTTTTTGTGAAACTTTTCTAGTACAACCACCACCACCACCACCATCCCTATCACCACCACAACCAGCAACATAATCAATATCATTGATAAAATCTTCAATTTTCAATTGATGACAAATATATAAATTTGCCCAACCATCATAAACATATGGTAGATTGAAATGTTTGGAATTTTCTTTAACAAATTGTTCAATAATACGATATGAATTACGTTTTAAAAATATTTTTTCACGATCATCAATTTTTGGTTCTGCGGTTGTTGAATCAATATTTTGATCACCCGAACCACTCGCTCCTACTTTATCTTTGACCAAATTTTCCAATTTTTCATTTTCACTTTTCGTGATTTCAATCGAAGATTTTTTTTCTTTCGAATCTTTTGAATATTGACTAAATTGTACATCATAATGATATACAAGTATCTTTCGAGTGGATAATTTAAAATAATTACCGGTCAATTTTTTTGATTCACCTTGTTGTTCAACTGGTGGTTGTTTGGCAACAGCAATTTCATAATTTTTTGATACGGGAAATTCCGGTAATGATGAATGATGATATGGTTTTTTACCTATGTGTGTGAGGGTTGAGTGGAAATAGGAAAGAATGAAAAAAAAATTAAACATTCGAATTCGAATTCGAATCATTCGAATCAAATTACCTCCTCCTTCGCGAGAATTTTGTCCCAATAATGTACTAAATGAAGAATTTAATGATGTCATTTCGGTTGATGATTGTTGTTGTTGTCGATCCGAAACATTACGTATTATTGTTGAACGATTTTGTTGACGCAGTTCATCATTATCATCATTTCTTTTCGGTCGATTTGTTGAATCCTGATGATGATGACGATGACGATGTTGGTGGTCATCATCTTTGAAATCACGTCGCGATCGATCCATAGAATCCGAATGATGACGATGACCATGATCATCATTAAAATCTCTTCGTGGCCGATTATCCGAATGATGATGATGTTGATGATGATGATGATGATAATTATCATCACCACCTCTATTATAATCTCTGTTTGATGATCTACCAGATGAATAACGATTATGTTGTTGTTGACGATGATGATGATGATAATCATCATGTTCATTTAAACGTTCAGATTCAGTAAATGATGGTACATAACGATTATCATAATTTCGTCTATTACCACCATAATTTCGATTATTATCATCATTATAATGGCCACGTTTTTCATCATCTTCATCATCTTTTTTAGTTTTTTTTCGATTATAATTAGCTGTAAATGAAAAATTTGTTTAAAAAATTACAAATTATAATCATCGTTAAAAAAATCGAAAAAAAGAAATACTTACAACGAAAACTAATCGACGAAGAACTTGATAATGAATGTTTACGATCCATATTGTTTTCGAGGCTGGATGCCAAATTAAATGATCAAGAATTTCGAAAATCCCAACAAAAAAAAATCCAAATGAAGAAAAAGAAAAAAAGAAATCAAGTTTCTCGTTTCCAGAAAAAACCACCCAAACCAAATCGATGATGAAATAAATGGATGAGTCGTCAAATTCTTTCGATAAGCTTGACGCGCATTTATATATGGTTGGTGGTTGTGGTGGTTGTGTGCTAAAAGCAGCGTTGCTTAGCTGACGTAGCTGCTATTGCATCAGGAACACTTATTTTTTTGTTGTTGTTGGGATTCTTCATAAACAACGTTTGATCAAAATTATTATTTTTTTCGTTCGATTTTCGAATTTCCATTTCCCATAACGACAAACAAGCAAACGTGTTTCGAGTTTTATTCTCGAGCAATCATTTCATGTTTTTCATAACTTTGCTTTCGAATTACAAAAAGATTAAGGGAAAAAATTATTCAATTTTTTAATCATATCAAAAACAAGACTTGAAGAACGTTTTGCATATTACTATGGCAAGTTCATAGAATTAAAGGAAATTGAAGAAATCAGAATTCGTAAGTTTTTCGTTTTTTTTAAATTTGCATTCATTAAAACATTTCTAATTTCCAAATTTTCTTTTTAAAAAATCAAATCAAACAGCTCTATCTCTGAATTCACTGTTAGCCGACGTGTTTTAAAAGAGGAATTAAAATCTTTCAAATTCACTGGTCGGAAGAAAAACAATTGTATAAAGATACTATTGAGTTTATACGATTGACCGAATTAGAATCTGAATGATTCCAAGGAAACTTTATTCTGATTATATGAAATTCGGCCCTTCTATTTTTGTCGAATTCAATTCAAGATTCGAACAGTGTCACCAGATTTGGAAAATAAATATCGCCTGGTGTTGATGAATTGTTGGATTTCTCCTGGATCCGAAAAAAATGCTAAAATCTGACAAAAAAATTTTATAATTCTTTAACAATTTATGTAGAAAAATTTAAAAAAAGTTTGAATGATTTTTACAAACACACACACACACAGAAAGAGAGTAATTGTAATTACAAAAATGAACCCTCTTTTTTTTGAATTAAAAAAAAAAATTTTATTTTCAGTTTTTTTTACAAAAAATCATTCGATTCGATTTGATTCGACTGTCGATTCGAATCAAAGACAATTACCAGCTCGACAATATTTATTCGGTGCACAGGTTGTATTTTCAATAGCCGGATCAATATAAATATTAACTAAATTATTTGTACATTGAATTTTCGTACAAATCGATATTAATTTTGTATTTAAAATGTTTGCACGAAATGTTTCACCCAATGACATACGACATTGTTCATCCACATTAACGGTTAATGTTTGTGAGTCTATTTTACAGTCATCCGAAGTAGAATGATCACAAGGAAATCTTGCTAAAAATTTATCCGTTTTTAAACGAAAACAATGTTCAGTTGTAGGATCCATAACATTGAAATATTCTTTTAGTTGATAATAACTACAGATGGAAAATTGTGTTTTACCCGGACCGGTTGTTGCTGACATTATAAAATTCATATTACAACTTGTTTCTTGTAATTCTTCATCATGATACATATTTAGGACATGTCCGATTTCATGTGCCATTATAAATGCTGTACGATAACTACGAGCTTCAACCAGAATGAATGATTCATGTGGACGTTTACAAGCAACATGACCAACAGTTGCCAAACCTTGTGTATCGGTTTTATTACGACGAAAACGAAAATTATACCCAGTTAATAGAATTGCAGCAGAATATATTTGTTGTTGAAATGTTTGATTACGATAATAATATTGTCGAAATGATTGACGATATTGTTCACCATCAGCATCCGAATCAATACGAATGGTTTGTGATATTAATTGTATATCTAATATGGTAAAATAAAACCTTGCCAAATGTTTCATCGGCAGATTATTATATGATAACGATACGGAATTTGTAATCGAATAAATAAAATTAAATAAACGTTGTTTATTATGACCAAATCGTCTAAATAATTGTTGATCATAGAAAAGAAAAAGATTTATATAAATATTACCAAAATGATTCGAATGATTTAATTTGGATTTTCCTTCATATTCGATATCGTTATTGTTATCATCATCGTCATCAACATCGATATTACCCCCCTCACTATCGTTTTCATCATCATCATCATCATCAATATCAACAATATCGATTCGAATCGATTGACGACGATTACGTATAATATGTTGTCGTTTATCAATTATAAAATTACCATTTATTATTATTGTTATACAAATTAATATAAATGTTATTAATATTATATTTATATTTATAATTTGCATATTCATTCACTCTATAAAAAAAACCGAAAAACAAAACATCGACAGAACATTCATTCAATTCACAATTTATATGGTGAAGAAATTTATTTCAATGATGAAAATCCTGTTCTAATTAAATTTGTTTGTTAATTAAATTTGTGAAAATATTGAAACCTTGAATCGCGAACCAGATTTTGGTTTGAAAATTCAAAAATTCAAAATTCAAAATTTTTTTCATTTGTCATTATCAATCAGACAGAAAAAATGGCTGAAAATGTCAGTTTTCATCGAATCATTCAGTCGTTCATCACGAATCTTCGTGTCAGAAAGACATCAAACAAGTGCCTTTCATCCAAAGCAGACATTCAATTCAGCGAAATTCAATTCAACGGAAACGAAACGAAATTCTTCAAAAAAAAAATGTGCTGGGAAACTGAACGCAGAGAAGAAATGTGGTGTTGTGCTGCATCGGTTGCATTTTTCTGTCCACCATTAGCCGTATTATTATTACATGGTTGTGGAATGGATTTCCTACTATGTTGTATACTGACATTTTTCTGTTATATTCCTGGATTTTTACATGCATTATGCATAGTATTCTGTCCGGATCGTATAAATCCAAAGAAAAAATTTCAAATGACCGAGGTTAGTTGTTTTAGCTTTCAGAATCTTTTCATTTTTCAAATTTTTTCAAAATTAGCAAGCATGTCGCGAACGTGAAAAAGCCGAATATCTTAATCGTGCCCGTGAACGTGAAGAAGCTGCTATTCGACAAGCTGCAGCTATTCAGCAACCATCGCCAACATCTCCAGAATCCCCACCATCCCCACCACCGCCACCACCAGTATTGCCGGAAATTTCTCGACCATAGAATCGTATGGATTTCCAGAAAAGTTTTCCCGAAATGTTTTTCCAGTTTTTCACAATTATCATCATCATGACGAGTAAATTTTTGAAAAAAAATTCAAAAAATTCAAAAAAAATTTAAATATCTGCCCTGTCATTCAATCATTGACCGATCTGCCATTTTTGATTTTCATTCACTATCATTCGCTATTCGTTTCAAGAAGAAGTTGAACTTCAGTTTTTCAAATTTTCAAATTTTCAAGTTTTCAAGTTTCATTCGATCAATAATGTGTTTCAAAGTAATTCGCCGTGATGAATTATGGTGTTTTGCATCAATCATTGCATTATTTTGTCCACCATTAGCTGTTATGATGATGACCGGTTGTGGTATTGATTTTCTTTTAAATTGTTGTTTAACTTTTCTGTTATGGATTCCTGGTTTTATTCATGCTTATTGTATTATTTATTGCCCGGAACATATTGATCCAAATGCTAAATTACAAATGACTGAGGTTTGAAATTTTCAATTTTACCAATGTTTTTTTCCATTAACATTTTTACCATTTTTAGGCTGCCATACGATGGCGTGCACGTAAACAAGCCGAAAGACAAGCAGCTGATGATCAAGCTCGTGGTATCGAACGATTATAATCGAATCAAATCAATCTTTTTTCAATTAAAAAAAACAAAAATCATTAAAAATAAAGCATATTTCAAATTTTTTAAAAAACAATCGATACTATTTTCGATACTATCGATATACTTATTCGATTATCACGTGACAATTTTGTGTTTGTGTGTGTGCAGCATTGCGTTTTCCTTTGATTTTTGTTTTGTGGTTGAGTTTTTCCTTGTAATTTTTTTAAATAACACCAGACAAACAAACAAAAAAGGGATCTCAATGTTATCATCAACAAAAAGATCATCATCATCATCATTATCATCATCGATCAAAAGTATTTTATTTAAATACGTCATTCAATCAATACGATCCAGAATGTGTCCAATATCGAAAAATTTTTATTGGTTTGGTGGAATTGGTGCATCATTAATATTTGCTTATGGTTCTATTTATTTATTCTATTCGAATCGTTTTGATGATGATGATGATAATGATGAAGATGATCATGGTAAAGATGGTAAGAATGATGACGATGATGATCGATTTTGTCCATCAAATTTCATCAAAAATGCTGATAATTTTTCAACAACCAAACATTCCCAATTCAACGATAATGATGGTGGATCGGATACAATGTCAGATGATTCATCAATTGAAATCATAATACTTTATAAACAAATTTCAAACAGAATATTCGAACAAAATGATTGTTTCAAACAAATTCAACTAAAAACCGAAACAATAATCGAAGAGAATATCAATTCAACCGCCATCAATGGACAAAAATATCGAAATATTTTGATAAAAGGTTTTCATAAAAATGTAATGCAAGCATCACGTCTTATTGATCAGCTACTAGTCAACCACAACGATGAACAGCAAAACTCACCTTTGATTGAATGCAAACGTTTTGAAATCCTATCAACAAAATTACCATTAATAATCGGTATCAATGGTATTACAATGAAATCTTTGATCGAACGTTCTGGTGCAAATATTCATATTGATCATCAACAATCTTCCGGTGATAATAATGGTGGTAGTCAATTTACAACGGTTGATATTTATGGCAATAATGAACAGATTAAAATGGCCTTTAATCTTATTAATGAATTACTGGATCAGGAACGACGATTTTTTAATGATAATAATCGATTAAAACAGCAACAATTAACCACGAAGTTTGATGATAATGATCTTGATTCATTCGAAATGTTTGATTCAACAAATGATTTAATTATCGTTGGTGATAATCATCCACAATATATTCGACAACAATCGATTGTAGCAGAATCATCATCATCGATAGTTTGTAATCGAACATCATTAACACGAGAACAAATTTCCTATATGACCGAATCATTCGATGTAATCGATGATGATCATGATCATCATCCGGATCGTTCAATTTCACCATCAATATTACCACCAATTCAAGTATATGTTTCGCATATTGAACATCCAGGTCGATTTTATGTACAAATCAATGAAAATCGACGTAGTGTTCGTCTTGATGAATTGATGGATGAAATGAAAAAATTTTATTCAAATATTGAAAATCAATATGCATGTCGTTGTGATTCGTCGACCACATTGAAAATCAACGATTTGGTTGCCATAAAAGTTGATGATAATGGTGATGATGATGATTCGAAATTTTATCGTGGTTATATCACCGGTTGTTTGGATGATAATAATTTATTTTCAGTATTTTATGGTGATTTTGGTATCACTGCTCAACATTCCCCACAATCATTATTCTATTTGAATGGAAATTTTCTCACTCGATTACCATTTCAAGCTATTTGTTGTTCACTTAATGAATTATCCAATGATGAACAATGGTCAATTGAAGAAATTGAACAATTTCGTGAATGGACACGTGAAGGTTTATGGGAATCAATAATTAGTATTCGATGTTATCGATATCATTATGATGATAATGATAATAATAATGGACAACGAACATATATGGTTGAAATGTTTAGTAAACAACCAAATCAATTAATGACAATAAATGTTGGTCGAAAATTGAAACATTTACATAATCAACGATTAATTAACCAAAGAGAAAAACATTGAGTATTTTCAATCAACAAGGAGCTTGACTTTTTTTTCATTTCCAAAAATTGTGATATTTAACTCAACAACAACATTCTATTTTCTTCCATTTAACATTTTTTTCTAATTCTATTAACTTAATTTTCTCTATTTTTGATTGGTATTTTTGTGATATTTAGAAAAATTTGAAATTAAAAGATTCGAATCAAGTGAAAATAGAATGTTTTTTGAACCAATTTGGGTTGAAATAGTTTACACACAGCAGCAGCAGCAACGTGTGTTCGAAAGTTTTTCGTTTTTCGATCTTTTTTGAGTTTTTTGTTTTGTTTTTGTTTTTGATTCATCTAATTTACCATGATGGCAGATGATAATCAAGTGATGATGAACAATTGTTTAAATGAACCGAAACAATTGTTAGTAATGCCTGGTGATTGTCTACTAAAACATCAAAATAATATTATTGCATCGAATGGTACTTATTTAAAAAATGATTTTATTTATTCATCCATGGCTGGTTATTTACAAATAACCGAACAAAATGAATCACATTTTGATGATTTACAGAATAAAACCGTTAACGATGATGCTGAAACAAAATCAATGAATGAAGATAATAATGATTCATTGAATACATCATCATTATCGAATCAAATTATAACGAAAAGAATTGTTAAAGTTATACGACCAGGTAATGATTGTCAAATACCATTTTTAGAACCAGGTTCAATCGTTACTTGTCGTATAACACGAATAACATCATCATTTGCTAAATGTAGTATATGTTCGATTGAAGATTATATCCTAAAACAACCATATACGGGTATTATACGTTTGGATGATATACATGATGGTATTTCTGCACAACAACAACGTTTACGTCATGTTAATCGTTGTTTTCGTCCAGGTGATATTATACTTGCACGTGTTATTGCTGCTGGTGATAATCATCAATTCCTTTTGACAACAGCCACATCTGAATTAGGTGTTGTTGTTGCTGTTAATGATTGGAATGAACCAATGATACCATTAAATTCAACCGAAGTATTATGTCAACGAACTTATACAAAAGAAACAAGAAAAGTTGCTAATATTGAATCGATTGCCTATTGAAAAATCTAATTTATTACTCTATCTTTCTCTCCCTTGGTTATAATTCAATTTTTATTGTTTTTTCAATGTAAATATTTACATTATCAAAATGAAATTATCATCCAAAACGAAAACAAAAGCAATTCAGCAATTAATCATCATAATAATCAGAAGATGTTTTTCAAAATTGAATGAATAAATTCGAATAAAATTGGACCCCTCACATTGATTTGTAATTGATTTTATTTTTATTCTCATTGAAAATAAATCGATGATGATGAATGTCAAACCAATTTTTTCCCAAAAAAAAATAGAAGATTTTCCCATCTGAATGATGAATGCTATATAAACGAATTCTCAGTCTGGAATCTTCGGAAATTCTATATACACAGAGTGAGATTCTGTATATTCTGTATCACCAAATAACATTATTCGATGGAGATGTATTTTCGAGCGTTCGAATTGAATTATGAAAGTTTTTTTTCGCCTTGTCTCTCAGTGTGTTTCATTCGGTTGTTGTCAAGTTGTGGATTTTCTATTCTCGGTTTGTTTGTGTTTTTTTCCCCGTTCAAGTGTTTTCGAGTGGCATCATTTTTTTTTTGCTTGCTGGTTTTTGGATCCTTCAAAGTGTTAATCCTTTTTTTTGTCTCGGTATATATAAAAAGCCACCAAAAAAAGGTTCTCTCGGTGCAAAACAATTGACAAAATTTTCATTCAGAAAAAAGAAGAGAATCAGCAGAAGAATGTCCTCGATTGATAATCTAATTCGGCAAACAACAATGTCATTGATCGATTCGAATGTTGATAATTCGAATATTGTTGATGGTTATGATCGTCATCATCAAAATCTACCATCATCATCATCATCATTGACCAACGATAAAATTACGATAAATACGTTACCGAATGGCCAGATTATTACCGATAATGATCAACAACAACAACAACAAATTGAGCAAACATTCGATGTATCGAATGAATTGATTGCCAAAAATTTTGCCAAATATTATCCGGAAGAAGCAAATTTTTGGATGTATGCAATGATTGTATTAGGTTTTGCATTTATTGTTTTTGTTGCTATTACAATCTATAAACTTTGGTAAGTTTTTTTCGAAATCTTCTTCGTGGTTGATTTTTAATTTGAAAAAATTTACCGAAAAAAAAAAATTTAGCCAACCCGAAAATGATGGACGATTTTCAAAATCGAAATCGAAAACAAAATCAAAACAAAAACGATCCGAATCGGTTCCTGGTGTTACAGTAGCCGGAATTGTACCTTCGACAACAAACATAGCCTGAAATCTTCGAAATTCGGTGACTATCTTGGTTTTTCCTGGCATCAAAATCTTGGACCATCTTGGAACAACGGCGAGGACCAACAGATGTTTTAAACATTTTATTTCGTTATTTTTGGTCTCTTGTATAATCAATATGGTTGATTAATCAATCAAATTACAAAAAAAAAAATTCTTGGCTATAAGAGTATTTTTGGTGGAATGAAAAGTAAATAATAAAATTTGAGCATTTTTCCCCCATTGGTGATTGTCATTGTCATTGTTTATGCTAAAAGATCGGGAGTTTTATCAACAACATCGACAATCACTGTTGGTTGTTCATTGGAAATTAAATTATCTTCTTGTTGTTGTTGTTGGTTTGGATCGTTGTTGGAACATTTTTCATCATTCGATTGTTGTTGTTGCGATTGATTACTATGACAATTTGCCAATAAATCTGGTTGTTGTTTTGTTTCCAAATTACCATTACCATTATTGATTGTAAGATTGGCTTGGTCGTTATTATTCGATTGGAAAATATCAACATTCATCATATCTAAACGTTCGATTAAATTTTTACGACCACCATCACCATCACTATCGATTAATAATTGAAATTTCATTCGATCCAATAGATTCTGTTCCGATAATAATTTACGATAAAATTTCCAAATAAATTCTGAATCAATATTTTTTAAACGTAATAATAATTCAATACGATCATTATCATTCCATTGTTTTTCGTACCATTCGGAAAATAATTTCATTCGACATTCAAATATTGATGGTGGTTTATTTTTTGTTATTTCTTTTCGTTTCGAAATGGTGGAATGGGGGGGAAAGGGTTAAATTTTTTCAACATCATCAAAAAACAAGGAAAACTTACTCAAAGATTCATTCAAATCGTCGGCCAATTGACCATCGTCGATATCGTCAATCATTTTACCATTCGTTTCTTCTTCTTGTTGTTCCACCAATGTTGAAGCATTTTCTTCAGCATTACCACCATTCGAATTATCTTGATGATTTTGATCAAATAAATTTTTATCAAAAAAATTTTGATAAATTTTCATTAAATAATCATTAAGAAAATCATTTCGTTGAAATTCACTAAATTCAGTAAACCATTGTACAAGGTAAAGAATTTGTTTATCCGAATTTAGATTACCGAATTTTGATTGCGTTGACATAATCACTGATTCGAATGTTTGGTAGTAATGGACGAATCAAATCGAATCGAATCGAATGAAAAGAATAACCACCAAAAGAACCACCGAAAGTTGACCTGGTCAAGACTATTTTCTTCAAGATTTTCTTCGTTTAAGTTTGCCAAATACAAAAAACCTGATCAAACACACAAAAAATTCAGGTAGCAGGTTTGTTTTTCTCTCAAAATTTCTCTTTTGCTCTTTCGCTGGGAAAAAACTCCTCCGCTTTTTTTCAATTAATTAAAGTGAAGTTTGATGGGGGAAAAATATGGGGCAAAAAAAATCCACAATTCAACAGCAACGGTGATAATGAAAACCGATCGATACCGAAAAAAATTAATGTTTTTGCGGATCGCGATCCAAATTGTCCCCGAACCAAAAAAACGAAAACAATTATTATCTTCTTTAGTGCCGAAGTGCTCTTCATAGATAATGTTTTTTTTTTTGGGATCGTCAAGGCAACCAAAATAACCGAAAAAAGTTTCAAACAAACGAAAAAGCCTGCACCTTTTTTCGTTTCGTTTATTTTGTCTTCGCCAGTTTCAAGAGAAAGTGTTGAGCAATTTTTGGAATTTACGCGCTTTTTTTGCTGTTTGTTTTGTTTCAAATTGAAAAAATTTTCTTTTTTTTCGCCAAAAAGAAAGGTAAGATTCTTTCCAAACACACCCCCTCCTCGAACGTTTGTAAACACATTCGAACGATTCGAATGTTTTTCCAAAAATGGGAAAACAAAACATTCTGAGCGCGCGAATCAAACAAGTTTGTTTTGTTTTGCAGATTTCGACCTGTAAAAAACCAAAAAACAAAACAAAATTCATCAATCAAACACACTACTGCCACAAATTATCATTCATTCAGAATGAATTTTACTAATTTTGGAGTAGTATCTAAATATGTTGTGAATCCGTGGTTCGTTTCGTTTTCATCGTTTTCGAAATGATGCTAGTTTTTTCAGATATATTTTTGCCATCATCAAAACAACGGTAGTATTTTTTTTGTTTTTTCCCTTCATTTGATGTGTTGTGTTTGTGTGTGTCTGTGTTGGACATGATTAACATTGAAATTGATTGAATGAATGAATGAATGAATGATAAACGGCGTATATAAAAGTAGAAAACATCATCAATAAAAAAACATCATCAATAAAAAAAAGAGCGAGCCAAACAGCAGAAGAAAAACATTTCGTTTGTGCTGTGTTTATCCGTTAAAAGATTTTTTTTTTTTAAATAATTTTCATTTTTACAAAAAATCTTTTTTTTTACTGCAGTTTTCGAAGATCAAAAAGTCGAATATTCAGTGTGATATATTAGTCATCTTTGAATCATTTCGAACTGCTACATCGAACATCGACAGTCTACCATCGACTAAGCAAAACAAAACCTTTTCGAAAGAAAACACGGTATGTGTTTTTCATTTTCTTTTTTTCCATCATTTTTTTTCGAATTATCTAAAATTCGATCTTTTCAAAATCATCATCATAGTCGTAGTCGTATATATTTTGTGTTTGAACAACGTGTTTGTCATTTCACTTTCATTTCATTTTCATTTTCAAAAATCATTCAACTTTTCGAAATCTCAGTGCGTTTATCTCTCTTCGGTGTTGTTTGTTTGTTTGTTTTCGAAAAGCATTTTTCTTCAAATCTGAAATAATCGTTGTTTGTTTGTTTATTAATCCCAAAAATCAATCCAAAAAATAATATTTTGGTTCGTGTGGTTATAAAATAAAGGTTTGTCGAAGTGATTTTTTTCTATTGTTTTTCAATTCAGTTTTTTGCGATTATCTCGAAATCCATTTCTATACATGTGTACATTATGGTAATTTTATTGATTTACTTGTCCCAAAACACATTTATCTAATCGATTTTTTTTGTGTTCAACAACAACAACAACAGCAAAAAAACATTCATTTTTTTAAATGTAATCGATTTTTTTTTGTTGAAAAAAATTGTTGAATCCATTCAACAACAATGAAACACTATTGATCCACTTTTTTTTGTCGTCGTCGTAGTCGTTTTTCATATGAAAATTGTAATTTTTTTTCTGAAAAACACCAAAATTAATCAATCATTAATGACGATTTTTCACAATCAATTTTCACTGTAATTAATTTGTTTCTTCTGAAAAGTGAATGTTTTTCTGGTTTTTTTTCGCTTTATTTGCTTATTGGGTGACATTCGATCATTCGAAACCAAATTGATTTCGATTTCGGGTAAACAAAAAAATGAATAGAAATTTTTCCCAATTTCCAATTGGATAAGTGTTTGCATAGCCAAACAAAAAAGTTCAATCACCTTTTTTTTCCCCCAAATTTTTGTCCTCGGTTTGTTTGGTTTTCATTTCTGGCTAAAATGAAACCGCCTTTTGTTAGTATTTTGTTAGGCGATCATCACCAGTGTAAAAAATGTATCCAGTATCATTACAAAAAATAGTTCATCCATCCATAGTAGTTTGATTTGATTGATTTTTTTTGGTTGATTTTATGGTTACAAGGTTTTTTTTTTATAAAAATTGTAATTTAATTTTACAAATTAAATTACAATTAGAGGGTAAAATTTTGTAATATAAAAATGTTTTTAAAATGATTTGATTTTTAAAAGTTTTATAATAATCTTTGTTTTTAATTCTTGATTTTTTTTTTCTCTGCTTTTTTTCTTTTATTCTCTTTCACGAATATTGTCCACATCATCCAATCGAAAAAATGTCTACATCCGGATCATTATCAAGAAATTCTCGACAATCAAGAAGTTTAAGTGGTACTAGTGTTGGTACTACTGTTTATGTACGTGAATCATTAATGGCTTCGTGTAGTGGTGCTTTGGTCAAATTGGCCTTAGTATTATTCAATCTAATTTTATTTGTAAGAATTTTTTTGTTTTTGTTTTTTGATTTTTGATTTTTGATTTCTAATTTGTTTCTATTTTATAAATCATCACATGTTTTAGTGTATTGGTATATTTCTTGCCTATACTGGTTATTCAATATTTGATAATAAAAATCAAGAATGGGATGCTGTTATAAATACAAATTTTAAAACCGGATCAATAATATTGATAATATTTGGTGTATTGATTGCATTCGTAGCAGCAACTGGTGCATTTGGTGCTTGCCTAGAAAATAGTTCATTATTGGATGCATATGGTTATATAATATTCTTTTTGGTTATCGGTGAAATAGTATTATTCTATTTTAGTTTTAAATATAAAGATGAATTGGTTGCAAATTTGGAAACTGGTATTAAACAAGCAATATCAAGATTTGATAAAGATCCAAGATTATCATATGGCCTACAAATGATACAGAAATTTTTTCGTTGTTGTGGTTTTGAAGGACCAGATGATTTTGGTACATCTGAATTACCTGCAAGTTGTTGTGATCAAATGTCAAAAGTTTCATTAGATGATCCAACTGCTAGTTGTCCAAAAGATCAAATACATTTTACAAATGGCTGTAAACATTCACCATTCATTGAAAAAACATTAGGTTCAGTTACATATGCATCATATGCATTAGTTCTTTTTCAATTAGTTGTTATATTAATGGCATGTTGTTTATCAAGAGATCTTCGATCTCATTGAACAACAACGACAACAATAATAACATAATGATGAAATCAACTAAGCAACATTTTTCTTTTTTTTATTATAAAAATATATCTGTGTTTTTTTTTCTCATTTTCCAACATATAATATATACACAAACAAACATCTTCTAATCGTTGTTTTCATTATTTAAAATATTATAACACCAACCAACCTACCAACATGAACAACCAAAGCAAATCTAAAATTTATAACGAACATAATATTCCTCTCGTATATACTCACATGTGTTTATCATGTTTTTTCTTTTCAAATTTCAAAATGTTTTTTTTTTCATTTGAAAACACTCTCACCACACCAACAACGGGTTAAATCTTTATAATTCCATTTAACATATCCTTCCACTATGTTGTTGTTGTTGTTTATATGCGCACAAATATAATTTTCTAAATAAAATTTTAAAGAAAAAAAAAATTTAAAAATCTTGTTTTTTTTCACTCGAATTTTTGCAAATTTTTAATGAAATTAACGAAAATTCTAACCCGAATCGTTTTGTTCTGTTTTTCCATCGAATATAAAATCCGTTGAATTTTTTGATCGTTTCAAAATTGTTGAAAAGGAGTAAGAAAAAACGATTCGAAATGGAAAAGATGCAAAATGCTAACAAGGAAGTACAACCACAACAACAACAACAACAACCACCACAACAACAGCAGCAGCAGCAACAACAACAACCAAAATCAAAATCATCATCATCAACAACATCATCAACACCGAAAATAATAAATGATGAACCAAGTTTACGTTTGAATATAAAAATAAATTCATTAGCATCTGGAACGCCATCATTAATAATAACACCATCATTAATAAGAACAAAATCTAGATCATCAATATCAAGCTTAAATTCAAGTGAACGTCTATTTCCATTACCAAGAAAATTTTATATTGGTAAACATCGTCGTCATCGTAATCGTCATCATAATCATAATAATAATAATTATCAACAAAGATCATCATTTACAACAAATAGACAACAACAACAACAAGATGATTATGATGATTATAATGATGATGATGATAATGAACATTTTAATTGGATTGATTATGGTAATATGAAACCAAAAGAAATTGAAGCAATTAAATCATTTTGTTGTAATCAATCGATTTTGTTGGTAAGTTTGTTGTCAATAGTAGTGTTATTGACCTTTGAAAGTTGATCAATATATTCTTCGTTTCTTTCTCATTTCACCACCATCAACCAAAAGATACTTGCATTGATAATATTTGTATTATGGCATGCAGCATTTTATGATAATCTAAATGATTTAGATAGACAAACAATTGAATTTTGGTTTACCGATCTAAATAATTTACCAAATAAATATATTGATCAATATTTAAAGGAATATCGTTTTTCAACACGAAAGATAAAAATTTTCGATTCATGGATTATAACCAACGTTCTATTAAGTTTAATGATATTTATAACCGGTATGATTGCAATGTGTTTTCGTAGCCATAATAATAGCCGTAATGCAATGAAAATTTATCGTTGGATTGTAATACCATTATTATTAATATTTATAATATCATTATTTGTATTTACATATTTTCTTTTCAAATATTGGATTCTGTTTGCAAGTGGTTCGGCCATTAAATTTATCTATGAAAATTATAATAATAATCAACATTATTATCGTTGGTTAATGGTTTACGTTCATCATACAAATCAATGGCTAAATTGTTGTGATTGGTATTATCTATTGGAAGAATATGAACAAAATAATCAATCAAATCAAAATTTCGGTCATACAAATGATTCAATACCATTATCATGTTGTAAACAATTAAAACAATATGATCATTCACTGCATTCGGTCGGTTATTTTTTTAATCATCAATTTAATTTAACAATTATAAATAATAAAAATTATAATTATAATGATACATTATTGAAAGGAACGGATTTTGATTCATGGTGTACGACGAAAAGAATTCTGTCAACATTCGAACGACAATGTGCATTATCACCGATTATCGTTATAATGATCATCTTATTAATCATTATACAATCGATTGTTATAATCGATATTAGTCGTCTAATATCGATTAGTTTTTATTTGTAAAAAGTTTTTTTAAAAGTTTTTTTTTTAATATAAATATTTTCGACAATAAATACGAAAAACAAGATGTACAATAATAAATTGTAATAAAAAATTAATAATTAAATATGTTGTAAACAGATATGGCAGTAATACGTAATAATATGATTGATTACATGGTAATTTTAATTTAGATTTTATATAATCTAAATTTGATGATGACATTGAACAAAATGATAATCGATTTGCATTCCAACTTTTAATTTTTGCCTGATCCAATGTTTTACAACATGTTATTGGTATTTGTTTCCAAAAAAAATGTTTTTCCGGTCGATTAAAACCACAACAATTCAATAGATGTTGTATCATTTGTAACCAATATGATACATGTGAACTTCTACTATTATGACCAATGATTGCATAACCTATTGATGTTACAAAACGACGTTGTAGATAAAATTGTTCAGTTAATATATTATTAATCAAAATGATTGTTATCGTTATCGATATTATTGAACAAAATTGATGTAATAATTCAAATGAACGATATTGAAAATAAGCAAACAGGCCAATAAAACCGATTGTAATATAAAATAATGATAAGGTTATAATTTGATTGAATAATTGATAAATATGAAAATTTTCTAATGATGATTCTTTGTAAAACATTTCAATTGCTTTTTGTGGATCATTCATTAGAAATTCAAATGTTTGAATCGAATGTACTGTTATTGTATATTTTGAAACCAGTGTTGATGATAATAAAATGAAATGAATTATCTGTGAGAGAGGGGAAAGTGGAGAAGGAAGAAAAACAAAATCAAATTAATGAAATAGGAATATTCTGTCAAACAAACAAACAAACCATCCATATTGAATTGGCAACCATAATATTTTTACGTTGAAAAATATTTCGTTGTAGATTACGACAAAATTTTCTATTTAATTGTAATCTCATTTCGTAAATCAAAGAAAAAAAATGATTGAATTTTTCTTTTGAATTCAAAATCAAAATTCAATCAAAGTTTTTTCCATTAAGAAAAATTCTGAACAAAATTCATTAAAGAATTCGAATTCGAATTCTATTTCCACTTGTTGGTACCATTTGTTATCTAAATAGGTTTTTCTGTTCCAAAACAAAAACAAACCATCAACGGAGGAAACAATCATATCAGCAAAAAGCAAAAATTTTGTTTGTTTTTCTCGATATTTTTTGGACTTTTCAAAGCAACAACAACGAAAAAAAAACCCTTTTTTCTATATGATTGATGTGGATGCTGACGATGAAACGCCCGCAAATTAATCAAAAAATGTTTTTTGAATATTTTTAAATTTCCTAAATTTTTTTGCCTTTTGTCTGGATCTCATTAATCATCATCATCATCAGGATTGTCATGGCTATTAATTGCAAATTGATTGTAACAAAAAAACAAAAAACAAACGAAACGAACGAATGTCAAACACTCAATGTTACTACGACAACTTTTTGATTGATTTGATTTGATTCGATTGATTCGAAACAATCAAATCAATCAAATCCAATTGAATAATTTTTTTTGTGGAGATTTTTAACATATTTCTCGTCACAAAAATTTCATTGATTTCAACAAGAAAAAATTGTTATTATTATCACCTAAAATAATCGAAAAACAATGATTACAGTTTTTCTCTTTTTTTCTTTCCAGGGAGAAACTTCTTGGTTACTTGACACAAAATTGAAACAAACAAACAAAATGATTACCAAACAATGGTGGTGGTGGTGGCGGCGGTTACCAACCAATCAACAATGACTAACCAACCATATCTAAATACGTCATTTTCGATCGAGAAGAAAAAAACAAACAAACAACCGAAATCAAAATGATGAAACATCTCATGTATATGTGGATGATGATGTCGATGGCTACAAATGATAAGAACATTAAACAACAACAACAATAACCGAAATAGAAACTCAATCCATATCTACAAATTCCCCTCTGTCTCTCTATTCGACTACATTGAAACGCCTTCTCTTCTCTTTAAAAAAAAGATTAAAATCGTAAATGAAAATTGAAATTGCGTTTTCAACAACAACAACAAAAACGTTGTATAATATTCACTTTATGTATGTGTTTTATCGCGACAAACACACATAGAGATGTAATAATGATAATACCTGTTACCTGATAACAAATCAACGACAACAACGAAAAATAAGCAATTTTTTTTGTTCCCTTCCGTACATCTTCTTTCTCCGTATTTAATATCGATAAAAGTGAGTGAGCAAGCAAAACAGAAAAACATCATCATCATCATTGAAGTGAAATCTTCTCCTCTAATAAGCTCTTCTCAAAATAGTGAATTTAGCTACAAAAACGTTTTAATCCTCTCTTGCAGATTGAAATATAAAAATAAAAATATTGTCAACAATAACGACGACAACAACATCATCATAGTCAATAATTGTTTGACGACGACGACACTCGCCTACATTCATCATAATAATCATAATCATCATCATTAGTGTTTTTACTACTGAACTGATCACTTGTTGAATTGAATCAATTTTTTTTCATAAATTCAAAGTGACAAACAAACAACAGCAAAAAATATGGCTCAAACTTGTGGTTCAAGTATAATCAAATTGGCCTTGATCATTGTCAATTGTGTTTTTTTGGTAAATTTTCATTTCTTTTAAGCGAAATGATCTAATTTTTTGTATTTAGGTTCTAGGCGGTGTTGTAACCTATGTTGGTTATCATTTAACCGATCTAAGTAATAAAGCTGATGGTGCATTCAATTTGGCCGATATTAATTTCAAATCAATATCATGGGTAATATTAGCTGTCGGTATTGTTATCATATTGATTGCTGCATTAGGTTTTTTTGGTTCTTGTTGTGAAATTTCGGCAATGTTAAATTTGGTAAATTAATTTTTGATTGTAATTTTCTTTATCAAAATTATTAATCAATATTTTTAATTTGATCCAAAATCATCAAAATAGTATGGATTTTTATTGATTGCATTGATTGCTGCCGAAATATATGTTGTGGTTCGTTCGATTAAATCCAATGATAATGTAAGTTTTCTACAAAAAAAAAATAGCTCAATTTTTTTTTTAATAATCATCCCATTTTAGATTGATGATAAAATCAAAAATGGAATCCTTAAGGCAATCAACGAAATGAATAACAATACTAAAACAACAGTAGTTTTACAAGAAATTCAATCCAAATTAAAATGTTGTGGTTGGAATGGTAGCCAAGATTATAAAGATGGTGTATTGGCAAGTTGTTGTGGTAAATGGAATGAAGGTAATGATCCAAATGAATTATGTCCAGCTGGAGCAAGAATGGAAGATGGTTGTAAATCAAAATTCGAAAATCTTACCGGTTATCTTGGTAGTTCAACAGCAACCGGTATTATTGCTATTCTTGTACAATTGGTATTAATATTTGCAGCATGTTGTTTGGCAAGAGATGCTCGTTAGATGATCAATATTTTTCAACAAAAAAAAACTTTCTTCGTTAACTTGTTTTCTCAAACAAAAAACCAACCATATATTTGATTCCTGATAAACAAAACAAATTTGATTCTAACATTCATTAATTAATTAACACATTTTCATTGTTTCTTTAAAATTTTAATTTGCAAAAAAAATCATCATTAAAAAAAGTTTTATCATTATTATTTTTTACGTTGAAAAATAGCTTTTTCCGGACCGATTGCATCTTCCGGCCGAATAGTTTCAAAAACATCATCATATTGATCTAGATCGGCATATGTTTCATGATTAGCCGGTTTAATTAATTGTCGTTGTTGTTTTGATTCTAACCGTTGACGATATTTATCGGCAGCAGCTTGTTTAATTAAAATACGATGTTTATTTGGCGAAATATAATGTGGATTTGAATAAAGTACACGTCCCATAAATGATCCATCAAATATTTTGATTAAATTCAAACAAAATCTTGGTCCAATTTCAGCTAATGATCCTTTTTCATCTAAAATTTGATAATTACGAAACCAAATACGATGATCAAGTAAAGTGAATGTAAATACATGATCAAAAAATGGTTGACTTTTTGGATGTGATTTCGGTGTGCCGAAAATCTGTGTAAATAATTCACGTAACAATGTCAAATATGGTTCGGATTCAAATTTTGGATCGAATGATAAAAATGGCCGTGATGATTTTAAACAATTACCAGTCATTCGCAATTCTTCCATTGTATGAACATTTTCGACAAGAAATTTTGCCGTAGGACCATTCGGTATATTTGCAAACCACATATATAAATCTTTACGTTTACGATTTTCAAAAAATATACATTTGTTACAATTACGTATTTCACATATTTCATTCAAAACTAAATTCGGATCTTTTGTTTCCATTTTTGGTTCGGATTTTGAATGTGGCATTAATGCTTTCAAATTGTTCATTAAATGACGATCACGATATGTAATACCACGTGATGCAAGTACTAAAACACGTTGTTTGTTTATCCATTTGGTATTCTAATATTTTTTTTGTTTCAATGAAAGAAATGGAAAAAAGTAATCAATTAATTGAGTAAAAGGATTGAAAATAATCAACATACTAATGATAATGGTATATCATCGGATTGTCGAACAGGTTCCAAAACTATAGCATCATTGCTATTATCGTTGTTGTTGTTGTTGTTGATGGAATCATTTTTTTCGGTTCGAAATTTTTGTTGCTTTTTTTTCGCCACTTTATTCTTTATGATACGACCATTATTTTTACTTTTCGTTTTATTATTTTGATTATTATCTGGTGATGGAAAAATTTTTCGTTCGAGTTTGGCCATGTTTTCTACAAAAAATAAAAAAAAAGATTCTTTTAAAAATCAAATTATCAAATGCGACAACAGAGAAAAAAAACACACGTGTTAAACACTGTTGGCACACAATGATGATCAACAATGTGGCAATAGTCGTTTTGAATTTTAAAATTTTGATAATTTTTTCTTTGCAATCCAATATTGTTGTTGTTGCATTTTGGATTGCAAAATTTAGATCTTGGTCCAGTATTTTTCAACATTGACATGGCCAATAATAATAACATGATGATGATATTTCAAAGAGAAACGTTCGATTCGAATTCGTTGAAAGTCAATTGAAAATGTTTGAGCAAAAAAACAACATTTTGATCTTTGTTTTTATATCAAAAAAAATCTTCGGAAAATCTTCTTTGCTATTTGAATCGATCACAAAGTTGCAATATTTTTAAGAAATCTAATTGATTTTCTGTTTTTGCAAACATTCTTTGTTTACAAAACAAGATTCATTCATTAAATGTCGAAAACAATCAGTTTGTTTATCCGGAAATTTCTTTTCGTTTTCTTGTTCTTTCATCAGACGCTGAATAATGTGTGTGGCAAGTCAATAACAGAATTTGAAATTTCAAACCAGATTTAGCAATTCAATTCGACTCGATGATGATGAGAATCACAAGATTGACGGCTGCTTCGTTTCAAACACAAACACAAACAAACAAATCTTACGATTGCACTTTAAAGAAGAAAAAAAAACATTAATTTCATTTCAAATGTCTAATAATTCACATTTTCAAAATGTTAAATTTCCGATCAAACATTTGTTTAGGTCATCGTCTGATGTTGTTGTTGTTTTTGATCTATTTTTGAAACAAAAAAAAAATCAATTATGACGATCAAAACTTGTGTAATCGATTTCTTTCCCCCAGTGTCTATTCTGTATTTCTATTTATAGAATTTCTGGGGGAAATTCATTCGATTAAATGGGGGAATCAGGAAAAAGACAAAAATACAATCGATTCTTTCCCATCGATGTTATCCATCATCACTATCGAATGTGTACATCCATTTTTTTTCTTATTGTTCGAATCAATTTGCAACAAAAAAAACAAAAATTGTTTATTTTTGATTTTATGATTTTGATCTGCCAAAATGCTTGACGATTGATTGATTTTCGAGTGATCAGAAACCATCAGAATCAACCGAGGAAAAAACTAATCTAATCCTGAAATTTTATGACATTCAAAAATTGGGTTCATAAAAAATTGTTATTATTTTATCACAAGTTTTGCCCAATTTCAATATGTTACGACGACGATTCTACGACGGAAAAAAAAAGACTATCATAAAAATGTTGAAAATAATAATAATAATCGCGATAATGAAAACAAACAAACAAAGTAAAAAATGTTATAAAATTCTGATCATGATCAGCGATGATTATAGATAAAGTATTGGTTGGTTGGTTGGTTTTTTTCTGGCCATCATCATTCATCGATTGGCAACCAAATGATTTGGTTGAATTCCGGAAAAAAATTCTCGAAGAATGTACAGAATGTTTTTACAACAATTTTTTGCTCGAATTTCTCCTATAACCGCTGATAATGATAATGATGATGATGATAAAAATAATGATTTTCGTCGTTCATCATCAAATTCGAATGTATTATCCATTACAAATACAAATGATAATAATAATCAACAACAACAACAACATTATTCTCGACAATTTTTATTAAATCGTTTAAATTCATATTGTTTACTATCGGAAGAGCGACGTTTACAACGTAAAATTAATCAAAAAATTGAACATGAACTACGTAAAGAAAAACGTATGTTACGTAGAAATTTAAAATTATTATTACTTGGTACCGGTGAATCGGGTAAGTTTATTTCAAATTCTCTCAATTTCAATTTTCATTTTTTGAAATTTTTCCACCAAAAAAACAGGCAAAAGTACATTCATTCGACAGATGCGTATTATACACGAGCATGGTTATGAAACTGTAGCCGAACGTATGGAATATGTATCGAAAATTCATCAAAATCTTCTAACAACAATCTTAACGATTAATCATGCAATGCAATTATTAAATATTCAATATGAAGATTCGAAAATTATTGATGATTTAAAAAAATCTTTATCAGGAACATATAATTATAATTATGTTGAAACATGGCATCAATGGTTGAATAATTCGACGAATCGAAATCGTTTGGAAAATATCAATGTTGATAATGATGATGTGGATGAAAATAGCCGTCGATTACAAAGTCTTCGATCATATCAATTGATTATACAAATGATACAAAATCGTTTACCATCCCAATTACTGGATCTGTTTAATCGATTTTGGAATGATCCTGGTGTTGGCCGATGTTTACAGAAACGTAATCAATATGATTTACTTGATTCATCCACCTATTATATGGAACGTTTAAATGAAATCCTCAGCGATTCATATGTACCATCCGTTCAGGATATTCTACACGTTCGAATTCCAACCAATGGTATAAATGAATATAATTTTGAAATTGATTCAGTAAATTTTATGTTAGTTGATGTTGGTGGACAACGTACCGAACGAAGAAAATGGATACATTGTTTTGAATCAGTAACGACAATCATTTATATTGTTGCATTAAGTGAATTTGATCAGATATTTTGGGAACCAACTGCGGCAGCTAATTTCAATTGGTTACATCATCAACAACATCGATATTTGAACGACGATCAAGGTAGAGCCACCATTAAAGATTGGCAAAAACCGATAAATAAATTGGCTGAAAGTAAAGCATTATTCAAAACAATCATACAATCACGATGGTTTCGTGATACATCAGTGGTTTTATTTCTAAATAAATATGATTTATTTGAAGAGAAAATTCTTTATGGTCCGAATCGTTTGGAAGATTTTTTCCCCACTTATTCGACTGTAAAAATTTTCAATGAAGAAGATAATCTAAATGTTCGAAATGTTGAAATAGCTGCCGATTTTATATTACGAATGTTTTATGAACAAGATTCGGAACAATTTCGTCGTCATGTTGTTTATACACATTTTACCTGTGCAACTGATACTGGTAATATAAAAATTGTATTTCAAGCTGTTAAAAATACAATTATGGAACAATTATTATCAAAAGAGATACAAATTTTTTAATGTAATGAATTTGAATTTTGAAATTTTCAAAAAAAAGAAGAAAAAAGTAACAATAATCAACATCGATAGATGGCAGTCAAATTCGTGAAAACATCCTGTAATCATTGCAAAAAAAAAAATTATCATCATTTTTAAAATAAATCAAAGATTATCTCAGATTTCTTTTTTTTTTGTTTCTTTAAAATTGTCCGGTTGTCAAGTTATTGATCAATCAATCAATCGATTAATCAACGGTAGGTATTGGTTACAAAGATTTTTCACAACAAAAATGAAATTGATCAGCTTTTTTTTCCTTTTTTTGTTTTTGGATTGCACATCATCATTATCGTCGTTATTTTTATTTCTGATTATCGATTTTTGCGTTTGTTTTTGCGTTTTTGCGAATTATGGATACTGAATATGATGATATAGCGTTGAACGACGATGACGAAGTATTCAGCGATGGACAACAATCAATTCGTTTACGAAATATTCATTCAATCGAATCATCATCATCATCACCATCCGTTTGGCTGCATAGAATTTTTTGCAATTCATTCGTACCGTTTATCGGTTTGTTTGCTTTGTGTGCATTCATCGGTATCGGTACACCGATGATATGGAATCAAATATGGAAACCAAATTCAAATATAACAATTGAAACTGATCTTCGTTATGATTGTCAACCATTACAACCACTATTTCGACAGAAATGTAGTGAAATTTGTAAATTGGATCAATTAGCAAAACCGGATGAAATTAGCTGTTATTATCGTATGGAACGTAATGAAGATTTGGGTGATAATTTCAATCTGATTCCTCGTTATAAAATTGAAAAAATTAATCAATTTAATTATATACTTTCGCTACAAAATGCACCACCATTTATAAATGATCCAAATAATGATGATTTAACAAAAAATCCAATTATCAAATCAAAATTAACACTTTCAATTCGTTATCATAATTCAAATCATTCAAGTGTTTTGATTAAACCAATCGATGAAGGTAAGACTAATTCAAAAAAAAATGATTAAAAGTTTCAATGTTTTTTCTATACCAGATGAAACACTATGGACAAAATATTATGATTTCAATTATCAACCACATAATCAATCAATTGATTCGAAAGCAACAATAACAGTTGAAAATGATTTAAAAAATGATTATTTTCAACTGAAAGTTCGTCGTAATAGTACTGATGCACGATTGTTTGATATGGGTTCACATACACCATTTATATTTGCTAATGGTTATATTGAAATCACTACATTGATGATCAATGATATTATGTATGGTTTAGGGCAATCAAATCAACCATTTCGTCATAATTTTAGTATACCAAGAGTAAGTCAAAGGGTTAAGAAATTCAGCTTTGTTTTTCTTATTTCGATGTTTTTTCTCGCTTTCTCCAAAACAGAAATGGAATCTATTCAATCAATATCATGATAATCTAACAATGAATGCAACAAGTTTATTCGGTAGTCATCCATTTTATCTTGGTATTGATAATCCAAAACAAGGTAATGCATATGGTGTACTATTATTGAATAGTTTTCCAATGCAAGCGATGATTAATGCACGGCCAAGTTTAACATTACGTACGATTGGTGGTCATCTTGAATTGGTAAGCGACAAAATCAGAAAACGATTTAATGTCTATAATCACATTTACCTACCAACCTTTTTTTTTGATAGCATTTTTTCTTCGGTCCAAAACCAATCGATGTTATTCATCAGCTACAGGATTTTATTCATAAACCAGCAATGCCACCATATTGGTCACTTGGTTTTCATATGTGTCATCAACAATGTTCATTACCAGAATTTAATAAAACAATTAGAAAATTACAATCATTATCAATACCAATTGAATCGGATTGTGGTACATCAATGAAAATTATTGATTATAAAAATCAATTAAATCAATTTGCGGAAAAACTTCATAATCAAAATTTACGATGGATATCATCAATTATTCCACATTTATTATCAACACAAGATGGCAGCAGCAGCAGTACAATTGATGATCAATGGAAAAATAAGAATCTTTTGTTGAAAGAAAATAACGATGATGGTGATGGTGATGGTAAACCATATTCCGGCCTGATATTCGGTTGTAAAAATTCTAATGGTAAGTGTTTTTAATTAGAAAAAAACAAAACAATTCGCAATGGAATTAATCGAGTTTCTAATGAACGTTTCTGTCTTTTTCTTTTTGTTTTTCCCTTGTTTTCCCGAATGTTTTTTCGTCCCAAGTTGCACAAAATCAACAAGCATATTTTCCTGATTTATTCAATCCAAATGGCCAGAATTTATATTCGAAAAATGAATTGAATATTAATGCTGATGGTTTTATACTTGATTGGAATATACCAGTAAATTTAGCCAATGGAAATCATTCATGTTTATCAATGTTAAAACAATATAAATGGAATTATTATTATTTTGCACAGTTAAATGATAAAAATCCATGTTTAAATTTATTATTATCATCGCAATCGCAATCATCAAATAATCAAACAATTGGATCATATCTTTCCGTACATAATCTATATGGATTTCAACATTCAAAAATTGTTTATGAACAACAAAATCGAAATCAACGAAAACGTCCATTCATAATGAGTTTATCAACATTTTTAGGTAATGGTCGTTTTGGTGGTCATCTATCAATACCAATTAATGGTACATGGGAAATGTTACAATTTACTATGAAACAAATGTTGGATTTTAGTTTATTCGGTATACCGATGACTGGTTTCCCGGTTGGTGGTTATAAAGGTTTTGAACGTGAAAAAAATGGTAATCTTATGAGACAATGGTATCAATTTGCATCAATGCAACCATTTATGATTGCATATAATGGTTTTGATGAATTTGAAACACAATTTCAACCATCACTGGAGAATACAATAAGATCAGCAATTAAAACACGTTATCGTATCCTACCATATTTATATACATTATTTTATCATTCATCAATTGATGGTGATTTAGTTGCACAACCATTATTCATACAATTTCCAACGGATATTCATACATATAAAATACAAAATCAATATATGTTAGGATCAGCATTGATGATATCACCATCATTAGAAATGGATCGTTCATCAATCCTTGTTCATTTTCCAAAAGGTCGTTGGTATGATTTTTATTCCGGACAAATTGCATGGAATAATGATTATGGCCAAACAGAATTATCAGTTGTTAATATTAATATACATTTACGTGGTGGTCATCTAATTGTACAACAAGAACCATTATTATCGATTGAAGAAACTAGACAGAAAAATCCATTACAATTATATGGTGGTTTTGATCGTCAACGTCAAGCATCAGGTGAATTATATATGGATAATGGACAAGAACAATTTCCAGCTAAACGTTTTTTACGTATATTTTTCAATGCTTATTATAATAATCTTACCATTACAATTGAACAACATGAAGATTATTGTCGTGCAATGAAAAATCAAATAGAAAAAAAATATAATACCTTATTGAAATCAGTAAAACTTTGTGGTGTTATTGAAAAACCAAATCCATATTCAATTGATTTATATCAAATTGATAAACATAATGGAAAAGAACAATTGAAAAAAATACGTACAATATCTGGATCAAAATTAATTCAATTTGATGCAAAATTTGGTGTATTATCATTTGAAATTGATCTGGATTTATGTTCGGTACCATATTCGGATACAAAAATTTCTATATTTAAATTTTTTCTCAATTGGAATTATACTGTATATTAAATCGATTAATAAAACAAATTAAAACAAAATAAGAAAGATTTTCTTCCAAAAAGGAAATCTTTTGGATTTCTTGGTATCATCATCATCAGAAACATTGTCTGTCTGGATTATTTTTTTAAACAAAAGAAACTAAACAATGAAAAGAAAGAAACAAAACAGAATATTCCTTGCTCTCTCTCTCTCTCTCTCTCTCTCTCTCTCTCTCTCTCTCTCTCTGTGTCTGTTATAAGGCGATGATGTTTGACTTTCATCATCGTTCATCATCATAATCACTTCCTGAACTTTTCAATTCATCCCGAACTCATTATATTTTCATTTGTATTTAATATGCTAATTAATGTCATATATTTTTGCTTGCTTTTTTACTGCTGTTTGTTTGATAAGTTTATTCACTTATGCACAGTGTGTGTGTGTGTGTGTCAGTGTGTTGATTGAAAACACTTTTTCTTTATTCATTATTAAGAATTTAAACGCTAGAAAAGAAAATAAAGGGTTAAAATCTTTTGTTGTTGTTGCTGTTGAAAGATTCATTCATTCATTTTTTCTGATCAAATTATTTTCACCAAGAAAAGAATATTCTTGCACTGGAGAACGAAGTGAAGAAGAAGAAGTCAACTGTTCACCAAAAAAGAATAAATTCGGGTAAAATTCTTTTTATATATTCCCAAAAAGTCATTTGGGGTTGGTTTTTACTGGCTTTATTCAACCAAGATGATGATAATAAGTGAAACAGAAACAAAAAACAAAAACAAAACAGAAACAAAAACTTCAAGGAAAAAACAGAATAAAAAAGAAATTCTTGTGCAAATTAACTTAGTCGAAAGAATCAAGAGAATCAAGAGAACCAAGAGAATCAAGAACCAAAAGCCAAGAATCAAGAGAACCAAGAAGAATCAAGAACCAAGAAAGTGAAAGTGAAAATGAATGAAGAAAAAATAATAATAATTTTTCGGCAACAATGTTTGACAGATTGAAATAATAATAATAATAATAATTAGCATCATGAATTTTGCTTCTGCTTCTGCTACTGTTTGTTTGTTTGTTGTTGGATTTTCATGAGAATTTATCATTATCATTAAAATCATCCACATCATGATGATGATGATGATTGCTCGAAGGGTATTATTAAATTAAATTATTAAACAACAATCTCGAAATGTGAAATTCAAGCAAACAAACAAACAGGGATGATGGTGGTGCGGTGGTGTTAATAAAATTCAGAGGAAAGAAAAAAAATTAGTCCAGAAAGCAAGCAATAAGGAAAGGAAAAAAACAGAATACATTTTGAGAAAGTTTTCCGTAAATATTCTTTCCATAGTTCCTTTCCCCACCATTCCCCACCATCACCAGAATTATCATAAACATTATGAAAAAGTCAAAGTCAAACGAACAAACAAACGCAAATCCAATCATACTAATGTTGTAACAAATAAAATTCAGTCATCCAGCCAAACATCCAGAATATTCTGTTGTATGTGAGATTCTCTGTTGTGTTGTGTGTAAATTCCCGTAAATGATGATGATGATGATAATAAGAATCACAAATTATCATTTTTTTTTGTTGTTATTTCTGGGAAATTTTCTTTGCTTATCACATTATTATTATGATAATAATCAAAACAGAAAAAGAAAAGCAGAACATGATGATCATAAATATGTAACATTTCTTTTTTTTTGTTGGAAAGATTCTTTGATTCTTTGATTCTTTTAGCATAATCTTAATAATCATTATCATTTAGGAAAAGTGGTCATTCTTTTTCTGGGCTGGCTGGCAATGATTTTTTTTCTTTGCTTTTTGGCTTTTGGTTGATGAAACTATAGGTGTAAATCAGAATGAGAAAAATAATTTTTTTTTTGGGAAATTTTCCAGAAAGAATTTCGAGAATCTCAAGAGATTATCATCATTGAAATGGATTTTTTTTCTGGGTTCTGGTGTCAGAATTTTTCAAAATCAAATTATCACCAGAAGAAGTAGGCCAAACTTTAAGTTTCATCGACGACAAATTCATAATTGAATTTCAATTAAAAACCCAGGAAAAAAAGTGAGAAATATTCCTGGTAATCTATTTATCCAATATCTCACTAATAGATGCTTTCTGGGAAAGATTTCGATTTCAATTTTCTGTTTATCTTGAATGGGACAAAACAAATTGAATCACAGAATCGAAAACCACAACAGTCAGCATCAGCAGAAAAAAATTCAACTTTTTTTTCGAGTTTCTGCTGACTTCATCATCAACATTATCCATTGATTTTGTGGCGAGAAGAATCTTTCCAGGAAAAAATCTTTTCAGGAAAAAAAATTTAAATGGCCATCTGGAAAAAATTGTGATAATCTTTGAAACAAAATTCTTACTCTGTACGAAACTTTGGACTTTCAGAATCCAGAATTCTGATTCCAGANTGTTGTTGTTGTAATCATCCATCGGATAGTAAGATATTCTGTGAATTCTGATTCTGTTTGGTTTCAGAAACAAAAAAAAAAGGTTACACACACAGACACACAGACAGACAAACAGAGAAATTTCAAATAATCATTATTCATTTTCTTTCGAAACAACAGAATTTTGTGTCAAAAAGAAAAAAAAAAGAAAAGATTCAAAATTGTTTGCTACTGATGATGACGCACTGACGCAATGATGTTGATAAACAAACAATAAGAAGAATAAAAAGAAGGAAATGAATGACAAGAATTTCTGGATCATTGGAACTTTTGTTTTGTCTTTCTTCATCACAGAATCAAAGAATTCTTTTCTTTTCATTCATTTTTTCCCAGTTTGGTTGAAATTTTTGCAAAACGCACACATTTTGGTGTGACATTCTTTGCTTTGCTTCATTTCAATTCTTTGCTTTGGTTTAGGCGATGGTGATTCATTTGATTCATTCATTCATTTTTCATTTATGGAAAAATGAATCAAAATGATGATAATGATGATGGCAGAAGCAGCAGCAGTCTTTCTTTATTGATCTTTGCTTTCTGCTTCTTCTGGTTTGTCTGATGTTTGAATGATTTCGATTTATTGAACTGAATAAAAAATATGTCTGACTTTATTTCTGGCTGCAGATCGATCCATAAATAGAAACAGAATTTAAAAAGTTAAGTAAAAAAATGTTCGGGAATTCAATATAGAAAGAATAACACAAGAGTGAGCGAAAAAAAGGATTCTGACTCAATGGATTTTCTTCTTGTTTTTCTTTGAAATTTTCGCCTGAATTTTCAACAACAATAACAACAACAACAGCAAAGGTAACCTTTGAATTTTTCTTCAGGTGTTTGGTGATCAAAAAAAAAAACAATAAATCTTTTCTCTTCCGTTAAGCTTTATTCCGGGAAACCTTTGTGATGTGAACCGTCAACAACAACAACAACAAAAAGTTTGATGATGACTATAAAGTGATTTTTCATCAATTTTTTGATTTTCTGCTTCCTGATTCTTATTCTGCAGGTTCAAAACCGGTGATAAACATGTTGGAACTTTTTTTTATTCAAATGAACAAAAAACAAAAAACATTTTGTTTTTTCGTTACCGAAGAAGAATTCTGTATGGCTTCGATTAATTTTAGCAACAAACAACAACAACAAAACAACAAAATCAAGAAATCTTTCCTGAAATTGATGATTATTGGGAAAAAAAATTGAATTTTATTTTTACGGAAATTTTCTCACTATTATATTTTTATTATCATTGACTTAATGATGAATCACTTAATGATGAATGACTTGATGTTGAATGATTGGTTGATGAATGACTTAATGAATGAACAGAATGGATTGTTGTTGATGGTTCTTCAACAATTTTTGTAAATTTATCTTTATACCAATAATAAATTCTTTTAATAAATGCAACCGAAAATAACATAATCATTATTGATAATGACCAAAATATAAATGTATCCATACAATCAATCATATTATTATATGAATAACATTCATATGGATATTCAATATTTTTTAATGCATCAGAAAATATTGTTATTGTTTCTTCTGCTATTGAACCACAACGTTGTCGTGCAACATTTTCTAAACATTGTTTATAATCAATAAAATCACAACAATTATCTTTGATTTTACCAAATCGTATACCACGATACCATTTATAATTATAATTTATATTATTATTTTCTAATATTGTTTGTCTACAATTATCAAAATCATTACGATATTGTATTATACATGCTGTATCTTCATAACCTTTATATAATGAATTTATTGTATCTTTAATTGATTTTCTAATGGAATTAAAATCCATATCGATTGCATTACAATAATGGTTATTGATATGGATGATCATTAAGATGGTGATGATGATCAAAAATGATGATTTGGTTTGACCAGCCATTGATTGATTGCTTGATTGAATGAATTTCTTTTCAATGGAAAAAAACAAGCAAATCCACAAAACAAAATCAAACAAAAAGTCAAAAGTTAAATATCAAACATTTAATTTAATTATGAACAAATTTTTAACAAATTCAAATTCAATTTGATTCGATTTGATGAAATTCTATATTTTTGTTCAACATTCAACAACAATCGACCAGTTATCGTCGTCATCATCATCATTTTTTCCAGTTTTTCTTTTTGTTTGTTCGGATGAAGCTTTCCTCTCAAAAAAAATCATTCCATAAGAATAAGGAGAAGAATATTTATAAACATAGCGAGAAAACAGAAAAAAAGCTTGAAGATAATGATGATGATAATGATAATGTTTGATAAGTATGTGTAAATAAGAAATTTTTTTTTCCGAAATTGATAGCTAAGTAGCCAAGTAGTTAGTTAGTTAGTTGGATCTTTCATTTCAAGGAAATCATTCAGAAATAAATAAATAAATAAAGATGTTTATATAAATGAATTGAGCAGTCAATTTTGATATAATCTTTCTGATGTCGACTATATTTACTCAAATTGTGGCGTCAGTTTAGTCGAGTTTATTTAGACAAGAATTTAGTTTTGTGGTTAAAATGATGATGATGATAAGGATACCAGATGAGATCGACAT